CTCACTGAGTGTTGGGTTGATTCAGCTGATATGTCATCTTCTTACTTCTTCAGCTCCAGGAGAGTGTCTCAAAGCTGTGCACTCATCCAAAGCTAATCTTTCCAAATAAAAAGAGACCTGTTCCGGGGTCAAATGTGTATAAGTGACAGCCTTCTGCTCTGGCCCAGTGGAAAGGCCCTGCTGGTTCACAGGCCATGCTGTGCGTGCTTGCTTTCATATATATAAAGGTACCTATTCTAGTGAAAATGCTGGGGTTGGTGCATGATAAAATGAAAGACACAGGGCTAGAGTGAAGTATGTAAGAATAAAACTGATAAAGATAAGGGAAAAGTTCAGTGGTTAGGAACACACATACAAAAAGACTATTGTTTGTAAGTACTATATTTCATTTATAAATAATGGAACTTATCAATCTATCAAAATAAGAAACCCTTTATTTTCTGATTAAAAACGGTATGGTTATCCTTTTGCATCCAGGTCAGACCAGAGACATGCTTCATTTTATGATTTGCTTTTAGTGTATTACCTCCCAGGAGATTTGCATTTGATTTTTAGTATTTAGAATAATGCAAATGAATGAGGAATAGATAAAGATGGACCATAAATTCTCCTCCCTCAACTTCTAATGAATGAAATGGATAGAAAAAGCATAAAAATAAAAATAAAGTAAAATCATCAAAAACCAAACAAAGAAAACAAGTTCACTTGATAAATTGACAAGGGGCAGCCAAAGAAATAAACAGAAGATTCATTGTAGTGTTGCTGAATGCTACTGAGTCTGCCCTCTCCCCCTACTCCACCCAATATGCTAATAATAGCAAAAGGAGAGTCATCTGAAGTCATCTGAAGACAAGTCTTACCAATATCACACCAATTTGGAGAAAAGTAGTTGAAGGGGAAACGTAAACTTTTGAAATATTTCTAAAGCCTGTATATACCTACGACAAGATCTTAGCAGACACAAGAAAACTACATAACTGCAGGTGACCCCACAGGGAGGAAACAAACTTGAAACCATGTTCAATGGAATTTGGCATTTAATACAATCCAAAAAAAAAGATAAGATAACCCAGATCCTCCAACAAAGGAGGCTGAGTTCCCTGGCCCTTCATCTACCCTCTCCAGGATGCTGAGCTGGTAGGATACAGAAGAGTACAATATCCAACCCACAAATGTTGCTCTAAAGAGAAGACTGACATATTTCAGTAACAGATGGAAAGCATTTCAGCAAAAATGAAGTCACACTATATCAGAAAAGAGAGAAGATCTGAGCAAAGCTACCCACAATAAGTATGAACAAGATACAAAAAAAATAAGAAATTTAAAAAAAGACTATAGCAACTAGCTACACAAACAAACCAGAATCCAAGAATCCATAGCATGCAAAGAATGATTAAATAAAAGACCAATCTGGTAGTAAACAGATCAAGACCATAAGAAAATTCCCAATAAAGTTTTTAGCTACAAAAGAAATAATAAAAACAATATATTTCAAGAGTCTCATAGATCAAACATGTCAAATATCAGAAAAGGAAAAAATTATATGGTAACCTGTTTCTGGATTAAATGTTGTACCGGAAAAAAAATCTATAATGAACATTAAAACAATTTTTGAAAATTAGATATACATTGTGGATTAGAGAATCATACCAATGTTAAATTTCTTAATTTTGATAATTGAACTATGGTTGGGTAAGAGAATCTCCTTGTTCATGGGAAATGCACATTAAATTATTTTTGGTAAAGAGTCATGATGTTTAAAACTTCCTCTTAAATAGCTCATGAAAAAAAAAGAGCTGTATATGTACATATGTGAAATAAGGACAAAAGACAATCAGGTGGTTAATTCAATAAAGTGTATAAAGAAGTCCTTGTACTATTTCTGCATTCTTGCAACTTTTTTGTAAGTTTGAAATTATAACAAAGTAAAATATTATTAAGGAAAGTCAAAGCAATACCTTTAGAGAGCTATTTTATTAAGTCAATCAATAAAGAATGGACTATAGCCAGCTGAAAATTGAAATTCTGACATAGAAGCCACGCTTGAGAGAATCACAGTAAAAGCAAAGGAAAGTAAAAAATGGATAAAATAGGTGAAGAAAATATAAGTAAATACACTGTACAAAGAGGATCCAACATAAACAAAATGGGTTTCTCAGCAGGAGAAAACCAAATGGAACAGAAAAGCAATTTATATGTACAATGGTAGAACAATTCTCTGAAAATAAAAAAGCAACTTATTTTGCAGACAGAAGGAGAAACCTCTGTTTTAAGAAAGGCTGGATTATTAAAACTGAAAAGCAATCCTGGTTCATTAACTGAATTTTAAAGATACAAAAAAAAATTTTTCAAGCATCCAATGAGGAAAGAAGCTGGTCACATGCAAGAGAGAGGGTGAAGTAAAAGGTCAAGGTGACCTCAATTTGCTATTCAAATATAAAGGTAAGCAGGCATTCTGAAACATGAAAGAACTCAAGAAATTGAGCTACTGTGAACTCTATCTGGGGGGGAAACCTATTTGACAATCACGTTCAAACAAAATTTAAGGGGAAAAATTGTGCTAAAGGACTAACTAGCACTGCATTCAGTGACAGACGACAATGGAGAAAAGTGTACAAGTGCAAGGGAAAAAATTATGATCTACTAAATTCATCTAACTCGCTATTATAAATCATAAGGGTAAAACACAGACATTCTCAAGGATGCCCTAATTAAACCTTCCAAAGAATCAAAAGGCTCAAAACTGTGAAGCTGTAGTAAAAAAATGATGGTTCTGATTATTTAATCAATATGAATTTTTACTAAGAAAAAAATAAAGAAAAGGAAAATTTGAAAAAATGAAAAGTTATACCATCGCTGTTACCATAGGTAGTTAACTAGTTATTAAAGGGGGCAAAGGGAGTTAGATATTGCACCTAATTAACTGGGGAGCATACGCCTATTTGCTTTACCAGGAAGCTACAGCTTCACACCCCAGGGGATTATAGCATTGCTCCACCAAGGCAATCAACATTCCTCTCTTTACCCTTCCATTTTGGATAGTTGGGATGATGCAGAGGGGGAGTGCTTGACAGTGGAGGCCTGTCAGTCTAACTAGGGGGTGGACCTATGAAAAAGCCCGTGAAAGCTTGGGAAGTTGATTGGTCATTTTGAAAAAGCACCTGGTCTGTCCCAATCCCAAACTTAATATAATCCCAGAGGAACAAATGCACTCTCTCTCTCTCCCCTCTCGTTCATGACGTTCACTTATTGCAGGCATTATTAGCACATTCAGTCTTACCCAGGAATATAGGACCATGTGGGTCTAGCAGCTAATGAGGCCTGCAGAAGACTATGAGGGCTCCAAATTACTAAGCTTTAAGATGAAACAGAAGCTCTGGACCCTGTCTTTTGCTTTGGCCTTCCTGAAGACACGGCTGGACTTTTTCCATGGTGGGACGGACAGCAATGAAAAATTGGAAACCCAGGTAGCAGCTTCTATTTCCACCCTAATAAACCATCTTGCCACACCACAATCTCCCTGGCTGGGTCCTTGGAATGCTCTCCTCCTGATCCGTGGGAGAGCCTGACCTCCACGAACAACATTGCTATAACAGGAGTGCATCCCATACTGCCTATAATTACATGTGTAAAAAGCAAAAAATAAATGAATTCTTATACTTTATTATAGGGATTTAATTATTACTGTCTAAAGTAAATCATAAAGTTAAAAATGGCTTCAATTGTTTATGACTTGTTCTTACCATTTTCCTTAATTTTTAAAGGGGTATTTGTAAAAATTACAAGTTTATAAACCATATAAAATTGCCAATATCCCATTGTTTTTTTGTCTAACAAAAAGCAGTATAATATAGTTCAACTTAATATTCTGTTACAAAAAATATTTATTTAAATTATATAATTTCCTTTAGTTTCAATTATTTCTGTTAAATTGGGTAAATAAATATGTAACTTTTAAAAATATTGTATAGATCTTAAATTTATTTTTATAAAATTATTACTATTTTTCCTATAATCTATTCATCCTTCTAACTACAAATTCATATATATATATATATATATATATATATATATATATAAAGATTTTGTGGGGATTTTGACTTCCTTTTGTATTTTTCTATATTGACTGAATTTTTCAAAATCAACATGGATTATTTTTAGGAAAACAGCAAAGTTGTGAATCTAAGGTAGATATCACTAAAACAAGAACACAGACAAAACCAAGGGAGGAACCATGGGTGGAACATACAGACCCAGGGAAATTTCTGGCCTGCCTCTTAGATGTGCAGCTGGCTTCTATCAAATGGCACAAACAACTTTCTGGTGAAAATTAAGATTTCTTCCCCTGAAGTTTTGTAACTGAACCAGGCCTTTGTAAATTCAAGAATATGGTTATGATTTACAAGACTACATCCACTGAGTTTCAGCAAGGAGAATGCACAGACCTAACTCCTCCTCAACCTGATCTGCCAACCACCAGCATTCTATCAACTGGGTACTTGTTAGACCTGCAGAATCTGGGCCCCAACCCAGACATACTGAGATTGAATCTGCATTTTAACAAGATCTCTGGCAGCTTTCTGTATACACTGAAGCTTAAGAAATGCTGCTTTAAAGGATCTAACAGCTTAATTCTCTAACAAGGATGTTGAGCAGCAGCTTTCATAAAGCTATAGAGATTAGCCACTCAACAGGTTTGCAAAAAGGAGAAGAAAAATTATTTTTCTGCCCACATGAAGTTTCTTATGAAATACAATTTAATCGTGTATTATGTGGCCTAAAGGGGACTATCTCTTGCATGGCTGGCATCCACACATAACATTTTCAGGGTGACCTCAAGGGATATCCAAGAAAACAGACACAATAGTTGCTGGTTAAAGAGGGAAAGGCTTTTTTGTTGGTTAGCTTGTTTTCTTGGAGCAAGTACGATACGAAGAATCAGGCAGAAGGCAGAGTTTGCAATGTCTATAGTGAAAAAATAATAATAATAATAACACTACCTGCAAGATTTTTCCACACATTTGATTCCTTCTCCAGACTGTCTGAGAAAGGCTCATTGTGATCAGTAATATGAATGTGTTCCATTCCTGCAACTTCAGAAGCACCAGTTCAGTAATAACTGAACAGGGACACCTCTTGGTGGAGGATGAGAGAAGGAAAAAACTGCTGGAGCTTCTCTTAACAGAGTTAGACAGTCATAAATTTGCTGTAAAAGGTCTCTGTGATGTCTGGCCTAAAACAAAAATTTTTCACCTCATCTGCTTTTAAAATTTTGAATGAAACCTTAAAAATACAAAATACTAGCCCCTCAAACTTACAGCAGTTAAGTCATGCAAAAGAGTTTATGAAAAATCAAATTTTAGGTTATCATCCATAATGTACCACAAACTGCTAATCCCAAATTATTTTTCTTATGCATAAAGAACACTTTGGGGTTATTTTTCCATAATTTTTCTACATTTGGAAAAAGATAAAATAATTTGAATATTAACTAAAGCAAAATGTCTATGCAAATTAATTTAGAAATGCATAGCACAGGTAAAGTTTTTAAGGTACTGATTCATTGTTCTGATTTAGATAAATATATTTGTATTAAGTATAAATGATTTATAAGATAAGCTTGTATTCCCTTAACACAAATTGATGTTGTATAAAATATTAAATTCTCGGGAGAAGTACAATTGTCTTTATCATAAAAATTATGATTTGACTGAACATATGCCATAATATTACGCCAGTCTATTGACTCAAAGGAAAAAGTAAAACTCAAAAGAGTTGTTCTGAATTTTAGGCAGTTGTCATGTATTAAACATTTACTGACTATTGAGCTATTCCTTTTTTTTTTTTTGAAACTTTAAAGATCTACTTTGAACGTAGCTAGTATCCTAGGAAGAATCTTAGTGCAGCATGTAATTATTTAAGCAATTAAAAATAACTCAGGTAAGTCCTGAAGGGCACCAATTTTAATGAACATTTCAGAAATCAATTTTGAAAACAATTTTGTTGGAATAAAATTATGAATAAATTAAAATAAGATCCTGACCTTTTGTGTCTGTTTGTGTTCAGACAATTCTAAAGAAAAAGTAACTGACAAAAAAATGTGCTTATGTTGTAAGAAAAATAAATGTAAATATCCTTAAGAATTACTTTAATTTTTTTAATGACAAGAATTCAGAAATGATTTCCCCTTTTATCTATAAGATGTAAAGAATCAATATTTTATTCATAACCATCTAGAAAAGCAATTTGCCATTCCTGCTTAGTGAAGCAATAGTAGGAACAGTAACAGAAGCACAGGTCAGTGAGTGTAACAATTCACCTGTATAAATAGAAAATTCTAGATCCCTGGAGAAAACCATACCCTTATATCTACATTGTGCTAGGTCTCAGCTAAGTAAAATTTAAGGGATTTAGAACTTTTATTAAAATAAAACAAAAAGATGTTATTAACAAAAACTAGATTTCTGCCAACACAGATAAATACAAGGTGAGAAAACTTTAACATAATGTTGATGTCCTTTAGAAAATTTAGGAGAGTACAAATGCCGGCTGAACTCTTATTACAACATCTGGTTGCCACAGTATTTGAAGTTAATTGATACCAATTGAGAAAAAATAAATAAAAGTACACCAGCGATTATCAGACTTATGCTTAGCACACAGCAAAGAGAGAGACCGTTTTTCTTGATGGAAATATATTCGAAAAGCAATTTAGAGTAATCAACTTGCAGAAACAGACAGAAGATACTTCAGTTTGGTCCTGGATTTTACTCATTTACTTTACACATGTGGATGAGTCTGTCATTCTCTCTAATGTTCATTGTATAAGCTTATTAATGTTACTGCTGGGTTAAGATTTGAGACACAGTTAAGGTTGGCATTAATGAAAAATATCACTATTGCATGGATCACTCCATACCTTTTTAAAAGTCCAGTTTTTAGATTACAAATATAGGAAATTATTTTAGGACTAACCTGTGCTATCACTGGCAATGTAATCTTGGGAAATTATATTTTAGGACTAACCTGTGCTATCACTGGCAATGTAATCTTGGGAAATTATAGATTAACACTGATGACAGTTATACTGAAAACAGAACACAAGAAATTGTTCTCGGTGTTAGCTAATGAATATATGTTCTATGACCACTAATAAGACCGCACTGAATATTGGAAATATTGTGTTATATTACTGGCCACAAGAATGCTAAGAATATGAAAAATATGAATCACTCACTGAATAGTATTCAATACAACAGTAGTTATTGTTGCTATTCTAATTATAAATTAGAATTGATGGAGCATAATCAGATCAACATGCTTCTTGCACGGTGTTTCAATGGCAAATTCCATTCTGATCAATGGACCAATATTTTATTCTTAAACTAAAGTTGTAAAACATTGTCTATTGATAGTCTCACTCACCTATGTAAATTACTAAGCATTTGCACCTAAGAAATAGGAATATATTTTCTAAAGGTTCTTGAAACACATTAAAATTTTATTTAGCATTATGGCTTGGTGGAAAAACAAAACGCTAACCTGGGAAGCAAGAACCTTATTGTCTAGTCTCCCTGAACTAGAAATCGGATTACATCTGAAACATGAAAATTCATATCTCACTAGTAAAATTAAGGAGTTGGACAGAATGATGTCTTAAAACTACTCAAATCCCAAGAACTTGTAAGTTCACACCCAACCCAATTCAATTACAAAAACATGCGTCAAATCTTCAAATGGCCTCGCACTGTGTCAGGATCCAGATATTCCAAAGTGTACAAGACGTGGTCCCTTCCCCTGCTGCAAGCCAGACTAACACGCAGTCCTGCCATCTCACTTCCGTCAGTGTTCACAGTGCTCCCGGGCCCTGAGCCACCACTGAGGAGGCACCAATGACCAGGACAGGCGACCTGCTTGTTTTCCTTCTCACTACGGCTGGGGTAAGCATAAAATAAACAAGAAAATGAAAACAATTTTATTTAGTGATAGGTTCTTTGAGAAAGATAAGGGATGATAAATGTGATTAAGGGACTCAAGAGACCAGCATTAAATAGATGGGGTGGTCTAAGAAAACCTCTCTTTAAGAAGGCAGTACCTGGCCTGAGGCTAAATAATGGGAAAGAATGGATCATAGGAAAAAGGGCATGAAGATGGAGAGGAGGCTTCAGACCATCCTGGATCAGAGGGAAGAGGAAATTGTAAAGCTAAGAAGTAAAGTAAGAATGTGGCTTGTTCACAAACAGAAAGAAAGCCAGTGGGGCTGTAATGTGGGAGAAGCTGCAATGAGGAAAGACAGGCAGGGCCAGCATGGTGTTGTGTGATGCACAGTAAGCAACATAATTTTTTTCTACTTAATCTAAGAAGTTATGGGATGCTTTTTAGCAGAAGATTGACACAATGCAATCTATGGCTTAAGTGTGTGAAAAATATGATTCACTCTCTATAAATTATAAACAACTTTATGACAACAAATATGAATAATTCATCCACTGACTATAAATACTAGAATTTGATGGAAATGAATCATAGTTTTGTGGAAAGGTAAAAGTAAATTTTGGGGAGACAAGTAAGAGATGATAAAAAACTGGCTTGGGTTCATCTTGAGCACTAAAGATAGAAGTGGTGAGATTTAAGGTCGATTTTAGAGCTGAAAAAAGCAGAATCTAGGGATGAATAGGAGGTGATGAGTAAGAGTCAAAATGATTCCCAGGGTTCAGACTTAGCAGTATTTGGACGGTGGTGCCATTTACAGAGACATAAAGATGGGTCGGGGGAGGATTAGGGCAGCTTTTGGCAGGAGGTGGGTAGAATCAATGGACTTGCTGTTAAACACATATGTTATTTCATAATAGCCTTTTACATTCACAAACTTAAAAAATTTACAGAAATACAAATTCCTTTATATACTAGCCTCACATGAGAATATAGGATTTCCATAATTTATGGCATAGCCAGGAAAATTTTACTTTATTTTGGGGCACAAAGATAAAGCCATTTCTGTCCCCATAAAGCCATTTCTCTCTGTCCCTAACTGGTAAATCTTATGAATTCTTCGAGATTCGACTGAAATGTCATTTAGTCTCTAACACATTGTATATTTAAACTTTTCAGTGGCAATTATTTTATCATCTCCATTACTAAAAGATTGCACAGATACTTACATTTATTATAACTGTTATTAATTCTATGTCGATCTCCAAAAGTATGTTACCAATGGTCCTTTTATAAAACTTACAGGTGGTGTAATTGATGTTTATATATCTATATATCAGTTTTCTCAACATACAACTTTTGGCCTACTATATTATTATAACATGGAGTTGGGATAAAATAAATGCAAATCCCTGGATCTTATCTCAGCCTTAATGAATCATAAGCTCTACGAGTGAGGTCCAGAAAGCTGCATTACAACAGGTATCCCAGCTGACTACACCCCCACCGACAAGTGACAACCCTTGCATTGGACTCTAAGCTCTCAGGGTATGGAAAGGAGGGCTTATTTTGTAAATATATTCCACTGATTATGCTATTACAACTGTTCTAACTTTCCCCCTTTGCCCCCTTCCACCTGGTACCCCCCCAATTACCTCTGGCAACCCCCCTTAGTTCATGTCCATAGGACATGCATATAAGTTCTTTGGCTACTACATTTCCTGTACTGTTCTTAACACCCCCCATCTATTCTTTACTTACCAATTTGCACTTCTCAATCCCTGTAACCTTCCCCTTATTTTCCCCCTCCCCCGCCTGATAACCCTGCAAATGATCTCCAAATCTATGATTCCGTTTCTGTGTTCCTTGTTTGCTTAGTTTGTTCTTTAGATTTGATTGTTGATAGCTGTGAATTAATTACCATTTTAATGTTCATAATTTTGATATTCTTCTTTTTTTTAAATAAGTTCCTTTAACATTTCATATAATAATGGCTTAGTGATGATGAACTCCTTTAGTTTTATCTTGCCTGGGAAGCAATTTCTCAGCCCTTCAACTCTAAATGATAACCTGGCTGGATAGAGTAATCTTAGGTTGTAGGTCCCTGCTTTTGATCACTTTGAATATTTCTTGCCAGCCCCTTCTGATTTGAATGATTTGAATGTTGGAACACTTGAAGTTGCCTCAATGGCTCCTTAGCTTATCCTTATTTTTTTGGATTCTTTTTGCTTCTTGCTATTCTTATTGAATGTTATTTTTTTCTTCTTTATGTTCCAAATCATTGATTTGATTTTCAGCTTTATCCACTCCAATCTTGGTTCCCTGTAAATTTTTCTTTATTTCACTTAGTGTAACCTTCATTTCTATCTGGGTCTTTTTTATGCTGTTGAAGTACCCAATGAGTTCTTTGAACATCCTAATAACCAGTGTTTTGAACTCTGCATCCAATAGATTGCTTACCTCCACTTTGTTTAGTTCTATTTCTGGAGTTTTGTTCTGTTCTTTCATTTGGGCCATGTTTCTTTGCCTCCTCATTTTGGCAGCCTCCCTGTGTTTGTTTCTACATATTAAATAGAGCTGCTTTGACTCCATGTCTTAGTAGTGTGGCTCATTATAGAAAGTGCAGCCATAGGTTGGATGGGGTGGAGACTTAGGTAATAACCAAGGCGGGGCAACACATGTAGACCAGGATAATGGAACCTCAGATACGGTGTCACTTCTCTGTGGCTCTGTGTGGGAAAGGACTCACAAAGGGAACAATGCCACTGCCTGGCCTCTGGAAGAAGCTGTTCCCAGGCCCTTGCCCTGATACCAGACACTTCAATTTCTCCCTGTATGCCACTGGTGCCCTTTCAGCTGCTGCCCAGTGCTGGAGCCCAGAGGGAGTGAGTCTGCATAAGTCCTAAGTCAGTTGGGGGCCCTTTAAGAGGAGACTCCTGAGAATCTCGCAGATTCTTCCACCACCGCAACACCCACTGAGTTTTACAGCCAGAAGTTATGGGAATTTATGTTCCTGGCACTGGAACATTGGACTGGGTGGTCTGGTGTGGGGCTGAGATCCTTCGCTCCCAAGATATCCCTCCCAAACTTTATCCGCCACACATGGGTGTGGGACTGTGCTTTCTGCATCTTTGCACCTCTGTGCCTCAGCACCTCTCCACACATCTCCACTTCTCCGGCCCCCCTAGACCTGGACAAATGTGACTTCTTTAATTTCTTGGTTGTTGGACTTCCATACAGCTAGATTTTCTGACAATTCTGAGTGATATTTGTTATGTAGTCTAGTTGCAATTTTTGCTGTGGCTGTGCAAGGTGGCAAGCCATGTTTACCTAGGCCTCTTGACCAGAAACATATTCACATCAGAGGGCTTATTTTTATCACCAGTGCCTGGAAGTGGCTGGCCTAAAGGTAGGTGCTCTCACAAATGGTTTTTATATTAAGTTATTGATTTCAACTGACCGTTCCAAATGGATAATTAAAGGCATTGGGCTACTTATATATAAAGATCTGTCTTAGGCAAATTTCTCACAGCATGCATGTGAATTTGTTTTCATCAATATACAGTGACTTGACACAATTCTTTTGACTGCCGCAGAAGGAAGCAAACAAGACTTTTTGAAGCTGACCTAGAGTCTGATATGAGTATGGGTACCTAACAAGAGAGCCAAAAAAAAAAAACACATTTCTTTTAAATGAATAGTTTTTCCATTAAAAAATCTCCTATCTGACAGTTTCACAACATAAATGCATATGAAAAATAACTATTCTAGCCAGGAGCTTTAATTATAAGATTTAGGGCAAGAGAGACATATAAATCTTGCACATCTGGACAAATCATATGTAATTAAATTTATGGCTTGAAGATGGCCTTCAAACAAAGGCAGCTAGCTCCCTTTGCAAGTGTTCCCCCTGAACAAACCCATCTAGGAACATTACTTACACATCTTTTCCCCCCAGAGCAGCACAATGCTAACACACTCAACACATCTGTGTTGAATTGCCTTAATTCATCAGTCGTCTACTGCAAATTCATATAAAATTCGGCATAAAAGAAACCTACTTTAGTAGGTATTATAGGGTAACAATAAAGATCTATATACTCACTAAGAAAATGTTACAACAAACATTCAACATGTCAAAAGAGTTATCCCATAGAAAAATCTTGCAATTATTTTGGTTAGAGAATAGAGTAAATGAAGTAGATCCCAGAATTAACATACTCAGCCTTTGGTTTAGAATGGAGGTGTATCACCCACACTTACCAGCAGTAAACTGTGGAGGAGTATGCAAAACTTAGTATAAATACACTGTTTTTCTCTACATGTAATGGAACTGAGTAGATGAGTATTGTTCAAAGCATACACTATATTCTGAGCTACATTTTAAAAATATTATGCTTTAATACCTTGCTGCAGAAAATAACTAAGTGTAACTCTGGCTTTTTGACAGAAATAAGGACTATTTTAGGATTTTTTTTTTTAATTTGGAAAGAAAAGTAGAGGACAGTTAGTTAGAATGACTAAGTTTAAATTATAAAACCAAAAAAAATAATTTCCAGGTGGTTAATAAAGTGCCAAAGACAAACTGATAAACAAAGAGAGTCACCAGTACGTCAGTGAGGTCTCACAGCCCACCTTACCGGTCCTCTGCCGGGCTCTGCCGGTCGGCGAGCTCTGGGCACTCCACACAACACCCAAGGCAACTCTTCTGTCAGCATGTGCACTTATACTGTGGTCTGGGATCCAGTCTCTGTCTCCTCACATAGAAAAATAGTACAATTACATAAATTTTAAAAAGGAGAAGAATTCATGTTGTTGCTGATTGATTAGTGAATTTATTAATAAATGAAATGATATTGTCTTACTGAATAATATTTAGCTAAATAAGGAACATTCATAACAGTTTGGTATATATTAGAAAAGATAAAATCTCATAATTATACGACAAAAACCATTAGATTCACATGGTTTAATAAAAAGAAAAATAAACTCTGAATTGCCAAGATACTACACATATGTTTGAATAGAAACAATAATTTAAGAAGTATTTAGCAATATAAATAAAGTATAATAGTTTGTATGTGAGTAAACACATTTAAACACATAAGAAACCTAAGAATACACAGGACACCAAAATCTAGTTTCAAAAGGAAATCGCAGCTATGTCTCAGAAATCTCACAGATCCTGAGATTTTGGGGATTTTCTTTTAAGATGGCATTTAAAAATCATCCTACAATGCTTAACAGTTAATAAATTGATTCAAATAATTTTTATTTTACAGTTTAGTAAGGGCCACATTTCTAAATGCTAAAAATAATCTCTCCCCAGTGTCGTTAGAGTCATGGTATCTCTCATCCTGATGGCAGCCTCCAATATAAATATGTGGCAACTCACACAGTGCTAGTAATTTCTGCTAGAGAAAAATGAGATTTTATTTGTTGAACAGAATCAGCCAGTGTTTCCTAAAATGACGATGGACTGTTTTAAAAAAACACATCAGAAAATTGTTAGGTTGGTCCATAGGCCATCTGATGTCTGAATTTACCTGCAATGGTAATCCTAATAATGCTGGAAGAGCTGCATTCTAAGTTATGAGAAGGAAGTAAGTTTAGTCTTTCATTCTTATCAGAAACAAAGAATCTTTGAAGTCCCTGATATTGTTCAATTATAGGTTCACTTCTGCAGGCTATTTCTTGTAACAACTAGAAAACAAAATAGTCAACAAAATTAAGTTCATCTCATCAACACAAAACAGTACGCTCATTCACTGAGCACCTACTATGTTGCATGGATTCTGCCCTCATCCAGTTTGAGTTCTAGTAGTGGAGACATGATAACATTTATATATAGTAGGTTTTGAGAAATGTATAAACCACAATTACATAATTATATGAAGTTGCTATCAATCCAAGGAGTATAAGAGTTCATGAAAAAAAGCTTTCCTTTCTTCCTTTTTTCCTTTATTTTTTTTCCTCAATGTCTTTACACATACAGAATCTCTCTCATATGCTGTGTTTTCAAGCTAGTATTTTTTTCTGTATATAAAATAATTTCAAAGATGGAAGGAAAATATCAAAGGGATTAACTGATCTGACCATAGTCATAGACGAAGTCCAAATTAACAAAATACTCATCATGAAGCAAGTAGGAGACTGAGGCAGGAGTGAGCTAAGTAACTTGAGTTTGTATAGCTAGAAACTAGCTGACTTAGGTTTGAATATAGGTCTATTTCATTTGATGCTTAGGCATATTCCATCACCTTATGAATTCATTTTTTGATTTGTTTTCATCCTAGGGAAGACTATAAATGAGATTAAAAAATACATGAGTGTAATAGGAAACAGATTCATGATTCAGAAGTGAGAGCTCCAGATGGGCTTAAAATATACGAGAATGGCTATCAGTATTTAAAAGTTCCTTAATGGATCTAATGAATGCCTCAGTGCAGTCTGTTCAAGATGATAACCAATGAAAAGAAAATTATTATAACTATTAAAATTTATAAGTCATATAAATGGTAAATGTTAACCAACTTAGTGACCAATAAATTATCTCCTTCAAAGATAAGTCCAAGTCCACTCTAATCACATCTTCACTGGTTCTCCCAGACACTGAAACCAATTTACAGAACCCTGTCAGTCCTAGCGGAGCTCGTGTATGGACTAGGCAATTACAAATCTGGAAGGGTTTATAAGCCGTGGTTGCAATAAGAGGGGGTTTGTTTGTTCTTCCCAGACTCACAAAGTTAAATATTGGTTGTTTCCGAAACTGAACCAAGAGCTCCTGACTAGACCGTGTTCTTCGCGGCACCTGACCCTACCTCACTGCTGCTTGTTAGTACTTAATTCCATAGGTGGTTCCACCTTTATGAAGATCTCAATTTCTGAAAACTGAAGTGCAAAATGAACTCTCTTACACTCAATTTGGAAGTCAAGTAATGCCATTGCTAAAAATTGTCCTTATTGCTCAACTCTTGAGTTTTCCACTGGAGCACAACAGATTTTTAAGTAGTTTCTGCTCAGGAGGAACATACAAACAGTGCATGTAGTCATTAGGGATGAAAAGAAAGTAGATTATTTATAAAGCACAGTGCTCTATGAAGTAATCGTTTACCAATTATTTTACAATAGTAGCATGAGAGATCAAAATATGATTAGTAGTTTTTTAACATTTCAATTGTAATTATGAAATACTTTAAATATGTAGATATGTACAGCACATGATTCAATTTGATCACACAATATCAGTAATTTAAAAGATCTGCTTCAGATTTCTATACCAAAAATATATATTAATCTTTATAAATCAAGCTAATTGTATTTCACTGAAGTTGACATACTCTATTCCAATGATATTTTTGCCTATTATTACATTTGAGTGTATCCATAAAGAGTTTAAACATCATAAATATTTCCAAAAATGCTATCAAACTATGTATCCTTTTACATTTCAATTTTAATATCATATTTTTGAGATGTATCCATGCTAATGAAAGTAGTTCTATTTTATTTCAGCTACTACATTACTTTCTATTACGATATGAATTACCACAGTTTATGTATCTGTGAGTTTTGCCAAATGCCTTTTATTAGGTTACAGAAGATTATGTCTCCCAGTAGGACAAAGGTGGGGCAGACCTATGCCCAGTAGAAAATGGGATTTCCTATGCTCAGGATTTCTCTCCTACAATACAAAACACTGCACATGCAGATGTCACCTCACTCTCTTCATAATGCCCTGTGGAAACGAGAAAATTAGAGGTCTTGTTTGTGCTAACTGCAGAAATTCAATCTATGATCAACTGTCTTCTTCACTGAGAAGTGGGGAGAACAGCTCATCTGCAGTGAGGGTTTATTTGGGGGAAGGCATTCCGGGAAGGCATTCCCACAGCTTAGTTAAGAACATGTATAAATGACCCATGGACAAAGCCAAAGTGAGGAAGGGGAAAGTTGTGCCAGGAAAATGGAGACAAATGTATTTGAACAATAAAAAAAATAATAATAACTGGAATTTAGTTTTGTCAGATACACTCAGGGTATCAACAGATAGACATGGATCAACATTAATGCTAATTTTGTGGCTTGGAGATTCCAAGCAGGAAATGTATATTCAAGCTCTAAACCTATGCTATCTGAAAGCTCGAGATATCTGTTTTTCAAGTTTGATATTGTATTGACCTGACCCAGATCCCCAGAGAAATCAGTTTCCTTTTATCTTCTTGCATCTGTGAATATGTCTGCTGGTGAAGCCCTTCAGAGACCAAGCAGACTTTCAGGCAACGAAGGTTCTGTAGGGGTCTCAGTTCCAATTTCACTCTTCAAAAGGGAACAAGGCCCATCACAAAGTGGGCACAGAATTCCAATCCCCACACAGAAGCAGCATCAGCTCAATACTCAGTCCAATTTTTGGTACCACCTTCAGTTAGGCACCATGGAAATTCATTTCAAATGCCTTCAAAGGATTGTACAAATGTTTATCTTTCCAGTTTCCAAGGAATTTAACATTCATCTTGTTCAATTACCCAAGAATTTATTATCAATAATCATTATTAAGATTTTCAGTATGTAGAACAGAGATTTATAAATAGTTTTAAATTTTGGCAATAATGCAATAATGACCTACTTTATCTTTTTTTCCTAAGAAACAAAAATTTCACCCCATTTCTTTATTTGCCATGTTCCTGAAGGCATTATCTTTAAATCCTATACTTACAGTAAGCCACAAAAACTGCTTCTATCTACATATGTGCCTTTTATTCATTTTAACCAGTGACTAAAGAATAAAAAACTAGAAAGGATTTATTATACTAAATTATTCATAGTAACGAATGTCATTTAGAAAGGTAACAGCGCTCTCAATATGGTGCATGAGATGAGCCTTAAACTTTTATTTGTTATACCAACCACGTATTTACAGAAGCTGTAAGTCATTAACATTCTTTCCCATATAACTCAAACTTCAACTACCTCATGACTATATATGGTAGTGCATTTAACTTCAATAAGAAGCAACATTTAAGAATATAGTATGTGAGTATGAAACTTTCTTATGATGTTTCTTATAAAATTTTTAGTATAATAAACATAATAGAAATTTACCAGTGGTGACTCTGCAGTTTTTGAATCTTCAAACTCTGGCCTCTCAGGAAGGTTGCTAAATTCCATGGATTCTTTGATGCCTTCTGGTAATTTCTCCTTAACAGAAGGTGGTTCTAAATCTACATTAGGCAAAGAATCCTTGCTCTCAAATGATATGCAGGAATTATCCAACTTCTGATTACTTTCCATATCTTTTACACTTTTCTCTTTGAAATGTCTTTCAAAGAAGCTGTTTTCCCCTAATTTTTCAACAGCAGGAGAATAAACATCAGGGTCGACATCTTTATCAAATTTTGTATTTGAAGTTCCTGCTGTCAAAAACACACATTTATAAGAGTTAAATAAATAAATTTAAAGAAAATAAATTGATTAATCTGTTCCTAAACCAAATGTTCTGTGGTGTAAACCTGTATCAATAAACACTATTTTATTAACATTCTTATACTGAGTTCTCAGTGTTAAATTACTATTACACAGTTTTTGTTCATAAATGATAATCATGATTTACTTAGGCATTCAAACCTTAATGAGCTAGAGACTAATGGAGGGAAGCAAGATTTTATTTTTTAATAAAATCTTGAAATTGATGCAAATTTTAATTCAGCCCATGGTTCAATTTCCACTCCTACCTCTTCTCCCACTCAAGTTTTACAACAGCAATTTATGAGAAATAATGCAGAAGCAATCTTAGTTCCACATTTTAACCTCTTTTCCTTAGCATGCTAGTGATGAAGAGAAGGCAAAGGGAAGTCTGCCACCTAAAAAGAGCAGCAGCTAGGGACACATGGGACGTTTAAGCTGGGACACCTGCCTCTGGAAAGCGACAAAATGAGCAAGATTTTATTAGTCGCCACCTCATCATGTCTGCTTTTAATATATCACTTGGTTTAGATCACTGGTTTCAGTCTGGCTGCACAATGGATTCATCTGAAGGTACTCTTTAAAGCTGTCAGTGTGTAGGCCTGACCCCAAACCAGCTGACTCAGACACTGGGAGTGGGACTCAAGCCCTGCATTATCTTTTGTATGTGTGTTTTTCCCCCACCAATTCTCTGGGTGATTATAATGTGCAACCCAGGCTGTGAAACATTGGTCTAGATTTTCTGAAGAATAAAAATCATTTGACAATTTTTGTATCACATCGTTTTCATAATAAAAAATATTCATATAATTATGCAGATTTAATACAGCGTCATCTGATTATCCCTTATTCTCCTTCCAATATAAATAGCTTATCTATATAAGTATATTGTGTAAAACAGTAGAGGCTATGATTGAAATAGTCTCCAGTGATGTGAATTCTACCTTGTAAGCCACAGGACTTGTGGCAATCAAATGTTGATAGAGCTTGGCAATTCCACATAGTATTTAGAATGTTCACTTCTGACAACTATTACCTCTTAAATTGTACAAATACTATGGGAAATGCAATAACTTGTGTGTCATAGAAATGCTTTAATAAGAAAAACCTTATAAACACTATTCAGTTTAATGAAACTTCCACAATAATGCTGTACTTTCCTTCTAAACTTAAATAGAAATTATTTGGTGGTGGTGGTTGTTGTTGTTGTTGTTTGGTAGAAACACATGACATTTGTTACATGTAAATGTCTGCAACTAACCTCTATACTACTTTTCAGGGTGATAAAATTCCATTATTAGGATACTTTGCTGAAAAGAAGACAAAATAGCTATTTATTAATGCTTAAAATGTGATGCAGAAAGTACAGGCATGATTTAATTTTGTCTATTTATTGGAAGCCCTGTTAAGTCATAAAAGTTAGATATCTTGGTTTAACATTCATACATCAATTTAATTCATCACATCAGATTAAAGAAGAAAAATCACAGGATCATATCAATCGATACAGAAAAAGCATGACAAAAATCTAACACCTATTTATGATTAAAAAATAAACTCTTAAAAAACTAGAAAGAAAGGGAAATTCCTCAACCTGATAAAGACTACAAAAAACTATAGTTCACATCATACTTAATGATGAGAAACTAGGAGCTTTACTCTTACAATGAAGAACAAGGTTAAGTTTTTCCCTCTTAACTCTCCTTTTTCAAGGTTGAATTAGAAATTCTAGCTAATCAATAAAACAAGAAAAATAAATAAAAGATATACAGATTGGAAAGAAATCTGATATTGTTCACAGATGATATGATCGTCTAAGTACAAAATCCAAAAGCATAAACAAAAAGAAAAAAACTAAGTGATTATTGCAAGGTTGCAGGATACAAGGTCAACATACAAAAGTCAGTTGCTTTCCTATACATCAATATGAACAAGTGGAATTTGAAGTTAACATAATACCATTTACATTAGCATACAAACAAATGAAATGCTTAGGTATAAATCTAATAAACTGCCCTGGCTGCTGTGGCTCAGTGGACTGAGTGCTGGCCTGCGAACCAAAATGCCGTCAGTTCGATTACCAGTCAGGGCACATGCCTGAATTGCAGGCCAGGTCCCCAGTAGGGGGCAAGCTAGTGGCAACCACATATTAATGTTTCTCTTCCTCTCTTTCTCCCTACCTTCCCCTCTGTCTAAAAATAAAATCTTTTAAAAAGTAAAGAAAGAAATCTAATGAACTATGTACATATCTACATGAGAAAACTAGAAATCTCTGATGAAGGAAATTGAAGAACAAATAAATATATAGTTCATGTTCATGGCTAGGAAGTTTCAATATCATCAAGATGTCAGTTCTTCCCAAACTGATCTATAGATACCATGCACTCTCAATCAAAATCTCAGCAAACCATTTTGTGAATATTGATAAGTTTATTCTAAAGATTATATTGAGAGGTAAAAGACCCACACTAGCCACATAGTATTGAAGGAGAAGAACAAAGTCAGAAAACTGTCACTATACAACTTCAAGAATTACTATATGACAATACTAATAAAGACAATGTGGTATTAGCAGGAGTATAAAAAACAGATTAATGAAACAGAATAGAGAAGCTACAAATAGACCCACATAAATATAGTCCTCCAATCTCTGACAAAAGAGCAAAGGCAAATACACTGGTGCAAAGGTTTTTTTCAACACATGGTGCTGAACAACTGAACTGCCACATGCCCAAAAAATTAATCTGGACATAGCCCTCACATCCTTCACAGAAATTTACTGAAAATGAATATAGATTTAAATATAAAATGTAAAATTATAAAACTCCTAGTACACTAGAGAAAATGTAGGTCATATTGGATATCATGATGACTTTTTTGAACCTAACACCAAAAGCAGAATCCATGAAAGAAATAATTGATAAACTGGATTTTATTAAAATAAAAAATATCTGTCCTGTAAAAGACACTGCCAAGAGAATAAGAAGTCAAGCCACAGATAGACTTGGAGAGAATGTTTGCAAAATACGTATCTGGTAAAGCACTATTATCCAGAATATACAAAAGAACTCTTAAACCTCAACAATAAGAAAATGTACAACCCAACTTAAAAATGGGCCAAAAACCTTAACAGACACCTCATCAAAGAAGATACACTGATAGAAAATAAGCATATTAAAAGATGTTCAACATCATAAGCCTTTAAGGAACTGAAAATAAAAACAATGAAGTACCCCTACACAATTATTAGAATGGCAAAAATCTGGAACACTGCGAATACCAGAGCTGACAGCAACGTGGAGAACAGCAACTGTCATTTGATGGTGATGGGAATGCAAAATGGCACAGCCACTTTGGGAGACAGTTTCATGATTTCTTACAAAACCAAATATACACAAAATATGATCCAACAATCACACTTCTTGATATTACCCGAATGAGCAGAAAATGTAGGTCCAAACAAAAAATCTACACATAGATATTTATAATAGCTTTATTCATAATTGCCAAAACTTGGAAACACCCAAGATGGTTTTCAATAAGTGAATGTACAAGTGTAAATAATTTGTGGTACATTCAAACAATGGAATTTCAACACTAAAAAGAAATGAGCTATCAAGCCATGATAAAGCATGACAGCACCTTTAAATATATATTACTAAGTGAAAGAAACCAATTTGAAGACTGTATATTGCATGATTCCAGATATATGACATTCTGAAAAAGGCAAAACTATGGAGACAGTAAAAATATAAGTGGTAGCCAGGGGTTAGGAAGGAAAGAAGTATGAGAAAGCAGAACACGAAGGAGTTTCAGAGCAGTAAAACTATTTTGTATGAAACTATAATGCTGGATACATGTCATTATTCCCAGAGAATGTGGAACCAAGACCGACCCTTAATGTAAACTATGGATATGGCGCGGTCACGATGTGCTGATGCATGTTCGTTGATTGAGAGTGCGCTAGTCTGGTTTGAGATACTGATAGTGGGGGAAGCTATGAGTTTGTGGTGGCAAAGAGTATATGGGAACTCTTTCCTTCCTGCTCAATTTTGCTGCGAACCTAAAACTGCTCTAAAAATAAAGTCTATGTACATAAATTAAGTGTCTTTAAAGTAACACTCAGTAGACATTTATATTCAGCATTTTCCCACAAATAACTGGAACACCATACTCCATACCGGAAGGTAAGTCAAAAAATACCTTCCGGACTAGATTTGCAGTCCAGTAAAGTCCTAAGCTCCCATGTGGGTATATTTTCAACCAGTTTTCTTCCAAGTACTAAACTTTCTGCGTTTAAAATGAACAGTAAAACAGTCAAAGCTTTTGTATACTGCAATACCACTTGGTTTTATTAAATTACCAACATGTATTGTTAATAATAGTAATCAAGGAAAAAAGTTACCTTTTGAGTTATCTTCATGATAAGAGCTGTTGTTTAGATAAAGATGTAGGAGGCCTGTTTTCCCCTGGGTAAAAACATGATGCTGATGGATGTCGTTTTCACACAGAAAGCTATTCTGATAATCATGCAATGTGCAACTTTCATGTTTATGGACAAGCAAAAGAATAGAGTTGAAAGAAATAATGTTAAAAATGTAAAGAGTCCCAGCTTGCTAAAGCAAATATAATAAAACCCTCAGGGAATAGGGACATTCACACAGATTTAATACTTGTTTCAGCCTTGCTGTGGGGCACATTCTAAACAACAAGTAACTAAATGGTATTATGGATTTAAAGCAAATAGGCAACTGGGCCAACACAGATTTAAGTACAAAATTGTAATTGAAAGCTTCTTTTTAAAAATATTCTGGAATAAGTTTTGATCCTTATATTCATTCTTCAAAAGATGAAGAGTTATCTTTCAAGTTTATTGAAATCTGATGAAATCAAGGTTTTTTTTATTCATTTTATTGGGGTGGCATTGGTTAATAAAACTATGTAAGTTTCAGGTGTACAATTCTATAATACATCATTTGTATGATTTATTGTGTTCAGTACCCAAAGTCAAGTCTCCTTCTATTAGATCAAAGTTTTATACTTAAATAAACTTTTAGTTATCATCAATGAACTATAAGAGTTAAAATAGCATATGTGGAATTTGTTCCATTTTTAATGATGATTACTATATATAAACATTATTACAATTTAAATAACATTTTCTATGAACTAATATATTTAATAACACCTGACATTTATGCAAACTCTACATACTACCATCATAAAAACTCATGGATTATGCTTAAACAAGAAGGTCCTCTTCTGTTGTCACCTATGATTCTTTATGATTTTTCTTAGGAAATAAGAAGCTCTAAGGGCACCTACAAACTCAAGTTGCTAAACTATTGCCAAACCATGATCAGTAACTTTTTCTGCCTTATCTAATACCATACATGGAGGTCAAAGCAAAAATTTATAAGATATATAAAACAATAAAATTAGAGAGCAGAAATGCCATGCATTTCCTTAGAGATATAGTAGTGGATGAAAACCTCATCTACTGACCAGAAGGTTGTCTACTGCTTTCTGTCAACATGTCAAATGTCAAAAGCACTTTTGCTGCTAGGTATCTGGGTCTATGTGTCCGATGAAGGGGCTTTTCAGGCCTGAGTGCATCACAAAAGCCCACTGCTGTTCCAAAAACACTGAAAGGGGCCTAAGATGATCTGAGTATATAAGTAAAGAATTGGCAAAGGGGCTACTTAATAGAAACTTCATTTTTCTGTTTAATCAATTTAAGACTTTTTGTCAAAACAACTGAAATCCTAGCTAAAGTTTCTAGTGAAGAGGGCTTAAAGTAATTTTTAGCATTACTAACGAATACAGCTAGATATTATTCTTCATTTGGAAATGACAAAATTGTACAAAATTTGTGAAGTGAACCATTATACTTTATTCATCACACAGTAAAATCTACTAAGGAAGCAATCTACAGTTTGGGAGTCTTTTCATCTCTCAAACTAATCATTAATAATATCTGTTTTATTTAGGGTTCGTACCAAACTAAAGTAAAGAAAATATAGAGTTATCTTTTTGAAGAAATGAACAAAGTTCATATGAAATATATCAGCCTTGGTCAGTAATTTCAAATAATAATAAATTCTTAAACTCAGAAGCATTTATTAAATAATCCAGATGTTAGGGAAGTGTATAAACATATCTTTATGCACAAATTTCAAATGGCTGAATGTTGACATCTATTAGCAATACTGTACACAAATTTAAACACAGCTTTAGTAAAATACACTCTAACATTAAAGCTATTTATTTTTTACAGTACAAATTTCTCATTTAAAAAGATAGTTGATTTTGGGTTTTTTTTTTAATAAGCATCAAAGGTGAATTAGAAAGGTCTTACCTTTGTCGACTGTCTGCACCAGCTAATTCAACTTTGTAAGGTACGATGTTTCCTTGTTCTTCAAATTCCTCTTCATAAGTCTTATTAAATGCATGTTGTATATTAGTATGTTCAATAACTGTACTATATATTAACCAGCTGACTTGCAGGTAATATTTAAGGATTTTTCTTTCTACAAATAATGTCATGGTTTCTCTGATTATATGTCATAGATCATGAGTTTCTAGAAGGACCCAACAAATTCAACAGGTATTTGTTGATGGCACTGGCTCTGTCAGTCATTTTATCATTGTGGTCACACTCAACCAGTAATAACAACTTATATTTTATTGTGTAACTACTAAGTGCACAGTAGATTATTGACTAAGATGTTTTTGGTTCTCTGGAAAGCATGTTCTAAGCTTACCATATGCATCAAGAATTTTATAACAAGCATACACACATATATGTGCATGTGTATGCATATTTACTTTGCTCAATAGCTAACATTTATCCAGAAGAGAAATAAAAATGCTGCTAGGTGCACACATAAACACACATGTGCACACACACATCAGGGGCTATAGTCTAAGGAAGAAAGTAGTATTTAAAGAGGTACTTCCTACATTTTAGCTTTTTCCTTTGACAGCCACGTAATATAAATATTGAGGATAAGTGGTATATTTGACTACTAGGTGACTAAAAAGTCAGAAATGTACTGAGCGTGTTACAACTTAAACTTTCGGCTCAGAGCTCTAGTTCTAACTGGCTCTGGCTTTAACTGATCCTATTTGTTGTCTTCTAGAGTTTTGTATTCAAGTTATTATACTAAGTCCTTCATTCTTCACACTGTTTTTTCCTTTAAATAGAAATACTAATGACATTCAAAAAACTAACTGTATACTTATTTTATTACATACCATGTGAATCTGTGTTTAAAAGTCTGATAACATAAAAAAACTAAATAAAAAAATAAATTACATTATATACATAAGTTAAAAAATAAAATATCTTCTCATCTTCCATACTACATGCTTCTAAAAAAAATCACTTTATCAGTGCAGAAATTTACTGTCAAACCAAAATAATACTTTTATTACTATGAGCATGTTTAAATTCAAACAATTATAAATTTCCTATTAAATTATGTTGAACTATGAAAGAAAATTTGTTGCAGGTAAAATGTAGTTGTAACTGTATGTTATGAATTTCCTGTTTGTTAAGTAACATGAGTAGTCATTATGCACTTACATCTTCCAGTTCAACTATTTTGACTGATGTTTCGGGTCTCTCTGTGCTTAATTCTTCTACTGGCAGAAAAAGTACTGGAAACTGTACTTTGATATCCTCAACTAGGAAATAAGATTAAAAAATTATATCATCAAAGAATATACCTTACCTGATTATTTCTGACCTTCAAATAACATAGCCAAAAATAAAAAAGTATGTTCTTTTGTGCAACCACACAAATATATAAATGCTGCCAATTTTCCTTGTTCAAGTAAAATACACATTTTCTTAACATTCAATTTTTAAATGAAACTACTTAAATTAGGCAAAGCAAATCTCGAAAATGGGAGATAAGTATTTTGATCAGCAGATAAAGGGTACATAGTCTACTTGAGAAGGATAGAGTAAAGAAAAACAAAAGCAGAGGCTGATTAATGCTTAGTGTATATAATTTGAGATAATAAATTTGAAAATATCTAATCAAGACTAACTAACCATCACTATCTTCATCGCTTTCGGTCTGAGAATGCTGTGTCTCAGTAGTGGTTGTACATTGAGGTATGAACGTATATGGTAGCATGTTTTGAAATTGCTCCAGTGGAATTCTACAAAACAAGAAAGAAGCAATTAAAGACTAAAATACATTATCTAAAACTTCCCAGACAAAAATCTTGATTTATCTCACAAGGAGTGAGTCTCCAAAATTAATAAGGAAATCATAGTTGTACCTCTAATTCACAGAAGAAAAGTATGATTGCCTAAGAGAATCTTAATCTCCTAAAATAATTTTGTAAATCTAATTAACAACACACAGCACTTTTTAATTGCATATCCCACTGTTTTTTGTTTAGGATGAAAAGTTAAGTTATGATAGAAGTCACTGTTCTTGCAAAAGGTACATGAGGCCCATTAAACATATCCCACTATTTAAAAAGCTAATTTATGAATGCATGTTGTGTCTTACAGCTTTGGCATTATGTTGATAAGTCTAAGGGAACCTGAAGATATTTTTCTAAGTTTCCATCAGGCGAGGAGGGTCATAAAATAGGGTTACATGATATGAATATGAAGTGTTCTGACTATGGCATCTGTCACCCAATTAATAGAGGTTTGATGTGACCCATCTCCTTTTAAAGGGATTGAAGCACAGGGGTTCTCAGAGGCTAAGAGTATGCATCCAGCTCCAGAGGTTATTCCCAAATTATGGGAACCTGGTTACTGTTTAACCAAGAATAAAAGTAGCTACAGCCCTTGTAGACCATACAATCTAATGCAGTCCCCATATAAAGGACAGGACCTTCTTCATAATATTGACAGGTAACATAACTGAACATGTATCAGGCTCTGTTCTAACTAATTTGGAGTGTTTAATCTTGGTAGGTGGATTAAATAGGCACTAGTGTTATTTTAATTTTACAGATGAAGACATCAAGGCACAAAACAATAAACCAATTTGCTCAAATTCATTCAGATAATAAATACTGAAGAATTTGAACCCAAGGCATCCAAGTCCCCAAGCCCATGTTCATAACCATTACTCTATATTGCCTTTGTCTTAATTTGCAAAGGCACTAAAAAGTTGAGAGTTTCCTGGCAATCTACAGCTATGTGCATTTTCCCAATACAGGTTATGTATATATCGGAACACTCTAAAATATTTATGTTATTCAGCTTTGTGCCTTAACAAATTTGATGAGCATGTCTTTTTACACCCATAATTTAATTAAGTGATGGAAATATTAAAGACTACAAAATCAAAGATGAAGTGGCACCTGGCCACCAAAAATCTCTTTTCAATTTGATATGGATATACTGTATTAAAACTCAATCTTAGATACATACAAATGTATTATTATCCAAATACTTCTACATGAAGTGAAAACATCTAATTTTATGAGTAAAGCCCTGAATCAAAGACCGATAGAGTCTAGGTAGTAAAGCATAGGAGCTAAGAACCCCTATAGATTGTTTATTATAAATTCAATATTTTCCAGATGAGAAAACGTGGGCCAAGAAAATTTAAGTGATTTACCCATAAACAAATAGCCAGTTAGTCAATAAACTAAATCTATTCTGGATATTGGACCCCTGGCACCCATGCTTTGTTAAAAGATCACGTCATATAAATAAAAGATAAAATATGTTTTAAAATAGGATTACCTAAAAATTCAAATTGAACATTGATTGATTCATTTGAGGAAACATGTGATGAGTGGTTATAAACATATTCTGTGATTTGTTAGGTTGTTTGCCTCAGAATCACCATGGAAGATCTTTTTTAAATGCACTCTCATATCCATCCTTTAAAACACTGATTTTTAGATTCGTCCAGGGTTAGGTAGAGAAATCAGTAGTGCCCTGAGTACTTCTGATAATCAGCTAGAATTGATAATTAAATGTACTAAAAAGAGTGTGGTAATTTGAGTGGGAAAACCATCTAATTGCTAATATTCATTCTTAAAATATTCTAAAACAAAATCATATGTTTCTTTTTATGAAACTTTCCTAGAATATAAAAGATCTACTGGCAATATTAAGATAGCTAGTAAGATCTGTCAACACTTATATATTGGTTACATATAAAATACAAATTATCCAAGTCAGAAAAGAAATATAAAAACAAAATGCAATGGAACATATATTCATAAACTTATAACAAACCATGACAATTATAGGCAAAGATAAAGTCTTAACCATGATCATTATTATCAACATAGGAAGTTTTTCAGAAGCACAGCATCAGAATTGATATAATCAATTTACAATCAAAAACTTGTAAATTGCCAATGGATTGCCCTACACTAGCATCTGTAATTAAGACATAAAGCACTAATTTAATAAAAAGATAATTGTTAAAAAAAATAACTGTAAATAAGACTCTAGTGAATGTATTCACTAACCATTATTTTCTAACAAGAAAAATTTTCCAATATTTAGTATTCAACATAGCTCAGGACTTCATGTGCCCACAGTTAAGGCTTTTTGTATGTGTCCAAACACAAATGATGATGGTCATTTAATAATAAAATCGTACTTCTTCCATTGTATAACAAACTCAGTATGAAAGGCATCAAAAAGCAGCCAACATAGAAGATAAGAGAACTTGATGTTACTTTTATGCAATAATTCTTGAACTAAAAGGAGGCAATTGACAGGTACACACTACCGAGTACATACAAGGAGAGCAACTAGAACACTCCTACACTGCAGGAAGGAATGCAACATTATGCAGTCCAATGGAACACAGTTTGGCTGTTTCTCAGAAAGACAAACATACACTTACCATGCAACTTAGCCAATCTAATCTCATATGTTTACCTTGGAAATTAAAAACCTATATTCAAACAAAACCTTATATGCAGATACTTAAAACAGAATTAGCCATAATTACAAAAAATATCCTTAGAAAACAGTAGATATTTTTCTTTTCTTTTTTAAAAGAGATTGTATTTATTTTTAGAGAGAGGGGAAAGAAGGGAGGAAAAATCAACTGGTTGCCTCTCGCACGCCCCTGCTGGGACCTGGCCTATGACCCAGGCATGTGTTCTGAGCGGGAATTGAACTGACTCCCTTTATGTTTGCAGTACAACACCCAACCCACTGAGCCACAACAGTCAAGGCACAGCATAATACTTTTCAACATTTGCATAGATGAACTCTATATCCCAAAGATTAAATAATACTCCACAATAAAAAGGAATGGATTTTGATTCACTCAAGTATATGGATGAATCTTAAATGCATTTTGCTAAATGAAGGACACAAAGGCTACATATTGCATGATTTAATTTACATGACAGTCAGAAAAAGGCAAATGTATAAGGATGGAAACAAATCAATGGTTGCCATAGTCTGGGGAAGAAAAGATGACTATAAAGGGAAAGCAAGAGTAAATGTTGGGGTGATGGAATTGTGCTGTTTGGTACTATGATAAACCCGTGATTCTAGGCATTGGAACTACACATAAGTTTATGCTAATCAAATTTTAAAAAGTAATCAATGAATGGTAAAATCATTCCAAGGAAGATGGGAAAGAACTTTGGAAAACAATGTCGTGACTGGACATTGTAGGTTAACAATAAAAAGCACTATCCACAAACAATGTACTCCAGTTGGTGGATTTGTTTCTCACAGTGATCTTAGCAATTCTGAAACCACTTTGTACATATACTGAAGTTGATAAATTAATAAATGTTTCATAGATAATGAGAGCCAGAATTCTCACAATGTAGGTGAAAGAAACTACAAATAAGCAAAGAAATAATGTAAATGAGCCACATGATTCTGGTTTGGAATTAGAGGTATGAGTGTATACTTCTAATTCCATATATATATATTTATATTTTATATAAATTTATATATTTTATATATATTTATATTTTATATATATAAATATATATATATATTTTCCCCCTAGATGTTCTCTGAGAAGGCCTAGGATCTGTGAGATCTGAATTAGCAATGAGCTCAGCTAGAGGCCAAATATTGGTTTCTGAATACCATTCTCCAATAAAAGGAATCATGATTCCTTGGAGAAATGATTCCTGGGATAGGACAGATAAATACATCTTGAAGCAGCCACAAAAATGAAGAAATGTTCAAAGCAAACTAACCAACAAACAAAGACTATGTTGAAAGAAAAGAGGCATCAGTCTGAAAGATTCTCAATAGTCAAAGCAGAAACTATTTGAGTCACAAAATAAAGAACAGTATAAGATTCTAATCAAAAACTAAATATCCATGAGTCCACATAAGTAACCAATTGAGTGAATAAATGGATATTCTTCCTTGAAGAATTCCAATAATAAATGTAGAAAAAATGAAGGAAATTGAAGAGTACCAATAAAGCAGAGAGTAGCAGGTGCTGTAGGCAAAGTCTGATGACAAATGCTAGAATTAGTAGGTGAAAATGTAAGGAAAAGCAAGATTTTGCATCATCTCAAAGTATCTCCTCTAAAATATTTATCAATTACTATGATGTGAATATTTGTGTCCAGTCAAGATTCAGAGGTTGAAATCCTAACACCGAATATGATGGTATTATGAGGCAGGGCCTTTGGGGTGATTCGGTCTTCAAGGCAGAGCCTACCATGTGAGGAAAGTGAAGAGACAGCCACCTATGAGCCAGAAAGCAGGCTGTCACCAGACTGAATCATGATCTGGGACTTCCCAACCTTCATAACTCTGAGAAATAGATGCTCGTTGTTTATATGCCACCCAGTCTGCAGTATTCTGTTATAACATCTCAATGGACAAAGACAGAAATTGGTATCAGAAGCAGGGTGCTGCTGTAACAAATACTTAAAAATGATGAAGCAATTTTGCAACTGAGTAATGAGTGGGAAAGTTTTGAAGCTGATGGTAGAAAAAAGCTACATTACTCTAAATGGACCTTTAAAGACAATTCTGGTGAGGGCTCAGAAAGAAAAGAACTGTAGGAAAATGTCTTAGTCTTCTTAGAGAATACTTAAGTAACCTTGAACAGAATGTCAGTAGAAATATGGACGGTAACTGCCATTTTGAGGTATCAAATGGAAATAAGAAACATGTTATTAGACAATGGAGGAAAGGCAATCTATGTTAATAACCTGGCAAAGAACTTGGCTGAAGTGTGTTTTCTGCCCTAGGGTTTTATGAAAGGTAGAATCTGCAAGTGTTGAAATTACATATATGGGAGCAACCATCTTGCTCCTTCCCCTGACAGACCCTATCACCCAGGTCACTGGGACACCAAGACTGCCAAGCAGACCCTCGCTGACCATGCTGTCTCGAGTGGTACTTTCTGCTGCAGCTATCATGGCTCCCTCTCTCAAGAACACAGTCATCCTCAGTCCAGAGGTATTGCAGGCAACAAGGATCTTCCACACTTAGCAACCGAGTCTTGCCCCTGTACCACCTCTTCTTGAATATGGAGGAAAAGTTCACCATGGGCTGATCCCTGAGGAATTCTTCCAGTTCCTTTATCTTATAACCTGGGTAACAGGACCCTATATGCTCAGAACTAGGCTTATAATATATTTTCTTATCAAATATATGTGGTGAGTTGAGAGGCCATCTCTGCTGTATCAACAATAAGGTTGCTTGACTATGTAATTAAAAACTATGCTCCCTCTATTGGGGATTTTTCTGATAAAATCAATATGTAAAAAAATTGCCCAACTACATGAAGGGAAACAGGCTTCCATCAAAAACATTCGGGATGTAATTGATCGGGAGAAGTCCCAGCAGGCACTGGTTCAAAAGTGCTATTACCTGTTTGATGTCCAGAGAATAACATTGTGATGGCCTTGGAAGTTACTTACTGGGAATGGCTGCATAGAGCATACAAGGAGGTAAAGAATAACCTGGACTATCATATCTCTGTGCAGAAAATTATGCATTGGAAGGAACGAGAGTACGTGATAAAATGGTTGGAGAAACATGTGGTGCAGAGCATCTCTGCACAGCAGAAAAAGCAGACAATTGTCAAGTGCATTGCAGATCTAAAACTGCTTGCAATGAAGGCTGAAGCACAGCAGTTCTGTAAATAAATCTATCCACATTGAGACAGCAAGAAACACTTGACTGAATGGAAGCCAGGCTGCAAAAGCTTTCTCCATTGCCATGTACTGGAGGACAGTTTACCCCACCTCAAAATGAAAAATATGAGTTTCATCTAGTGACAGAATTAAAACAATCTATCAGCCAAAGATGTTTCTTGTCCTTCTTACTGTTCCATGATCACTTTCAAATAAGCAGTTTGCTTTTAATAAAATTTGGTACCTGACTAAAGACTACCAAGCTATAATTTTAATTTGTAATTAATTCCACCATCTTATAATAAAGTGAGAGTTAACAACAAAAAAAGAAAGAAAGAAAGAAATTACATATATGGCTGAGGCAATTTCTAAGCAGTGTTGAAGAAGAGTCCTGGTTTCTCATGTCTGCTCATAGCAAAACGCAAAAGAGAAATTACTTAAAGTCAGAATTTTTATCAAAAGAGAAGAAAAACTTAAAAATTTGGAACACTCTTAGCCTACCCCTATTGAAAAGAATGAAAGAGCCTATTCAGGAGAGAACAATAGGGCCAAAGGGTCATCTGACAGGGAGATTAGTCAGCCAACTAAACAGAAGCCAGGACCTATTGTCCAATGCAGTAGATAGAATATAACAGAATACAATGATGCCAAAGGCAATTCAGAAACCATCAGCATTATCCCTCCCATCGCAGAACAAGAGAGGCCAAGGCTGCTGCAGAGAGCATGGCCCAGAGAAACTATAAGGACAAGGCTGACCATGTGACCCTAGACTAGGAGAGGCACCAGATTCCAACACTGGAGAGTCATGGGCATGTGACCCAGCTCAGAGACACCATAGGAATGAGGCCACCCAAAGCCATGAGGTCAGAGCCACCCAGAAACTTGAGGGCCCAATCTCTGTCCACAAAGTTACAGGGGAAGGACTTCTGCCTCAGAGTTTCCAGAAGGCTGAACCCCTACTCTTGTGTGTCTAGAAGGTAGGACCTCCATCACAGTGGGTCTAGAGGGCAGAACATCAACTAAAGGGGATAATTCTCAAGACTTCAGACACAACAGAATTTGTCCTCTTGGATTGCAGATTAGCTCAAGGCTTGTTTCTTCTTTCCTGTTTCTCATTTTTAGAATGGGAATATCTATCCTATGCTTGTCTTACCACTGTTATTTTGGAAGCCCATATCATGTTTGATTTCACAGGTTCACAGTTAGAAAACAATTTGCCTCAGAATGAATCATTTATTGAGTCTTACCAATATCTGATTTAGATGATATTTAGATAAGAAGGTGGACTATAGACTTTTGGTGCTGTAAACAGTTAAGAATTTTAGGGCTATTGAAATAGAATGGACATATTTTTCATGAAAGTAGGATATGACCTTGGGGGGACCAGGAGCAGAAAACTGTTCTGAAGGTCTGTGCTCCCCCAAAATTTATATGTTGAAATCCTAACCTCCAAGGTGATAGTAGTGAGAGACGAGGCCTTTGGGACAAGATTAGGTCATGAGAGCAAAGCCTTCATGAACCGGATTAGTATCCTTATAAAAGAGACCCGAGGAAGTCCCCTAGTCCCATCTGCGTGTGAGCACACAACGAGAAGACGGGCATCTATGGACCAGGAAGTCTCCAGACACTGAATCTGCTGGCACCTTTATCTTGGACTTCCCTGCCTCAGAACTGTGAAAAATAAATGTTGTTTATTAATATTTAATGTTAAATTTTAAATAATTTATGAAATGGTGAATCTAATGATAATAGTCTTTGAGTAAAATATATTTGAGTACTATTAATAAAATTATAAAATTAAAGGTCTAATTAAACTCAAAAGTAGACTCTGAAAAATATAGCCTCAGAAGTTTGTGTGAATGTAAAATGTCTGAGAGCACTACCTTCTCAAAGTAGAGTTTCATTTATCACATGATTTTGCTATTATTCATAAATTTTATACTGTTGTATGCCTTTTCCCCACATTTACATTTACATTTCTCAAGGAAAACCCTAAACTAATGATGCATCACACACATAAATAGAACTAAAATTCTTATTAGAGAACACTAGAAGCTTTATGGGGATTTAATATTATGTTAAAATTATTTATACAAACATGAAGCACACATAAAATTGCTATAAAAAAGAATGTCACACAAGTGAAAAACATAAATAGCTTGTATATTTCTTATCAATAATGCAAAAATTCAGAAAATACCTTCTGTGTTTTTTAAGCCATAATTTTTCCATATAGGATATACTGTCTTCTTTAAATTCAATATTAAGTGGTTCTCTCCAAATTTTCAAATTGGTTTGTACTTCACACTCTTCCAATGAGTCTGTAACAATAAACATGCATACTTAATGAAACCTAGTCTATAAATTATCATAACTTCTCTCAAGATACAGAACTTACCAAATATGACCTGATATTTATTTATAATCAATAGTTCTAGGCTTACATAATGCAAAAGTATTAAATATTGATGATTTATTAAATGACAGTATAGACAGCTTCCTTCAAAACTTCATTTCAGTAACCCTTGAAATGAAAGTGTCCGATTCACATGGTTTTTAAAAGCAACTAATTCTTTTAAATGCTAAAAATAAATACAAATAGAGTCATTATATATTCTATAAACACACAAAAACACAAAGGTATGTATTATAGCCACTGACAATATTTACACATTATGGGAAACAGAAAATAAATAACTCAGAAAGGCACCTGGAGAAAACAACCATCTTCATGAATTTATAGCTGCATGGCAATTTACTTCCAGATGCTTAAGATGTTTCTGAAGTACTACCAAATTAAAACCACTACTCAGAGATGTTTAAAACTGACGGTTATTTCTGGGAAAGAAATAACTACAAAACTTGGAAATTCAAAGTACATTACTAAGCTAAATGGCCAAGAAACATATGAGAAAAATATCTGATGTCAATTATAATGAGGTACACAAATTAGACATACCATTTTATCTCTATCAGACCAACAAAACTTTTAAAATCTGACTAAGTGTCAGTGATAATGGGAAGCAACCAAACATTTTATACACTGCAGATGAGAGTGTAAACTGATACAAACACTTAGGCAAATAATTTGGTTTTATCTATTATAGTTGAAGACAGGCACACCTGACCCCGATGACCCAGCTACACTCCCAGAAAAAGACATCCTTGAAATGTGTGCGCATGTGCTCCAGGTGACCGGTACTACACAGTAGGGTATTCACAATAGCACCATTCTTAATGGCACAAATGAGAATCAACCCAAACAACCACCTACATTTAAACAGGTAAATAGTGCTATATTCATATAGCAGAAGACCATTTAAGCAGTGAAAATGAAAGAAATACAAATATGCACATCTTTATGAGTAAATACCAGTAAATAGTATTCAGTAAAATAAACAAGTTGCAAAAAATACATATACTAGCCTTCCACTTATAAAATATTCAAATACAAGCAAATTTAATATTATATTATTTAGAGATATACATAGGCAATAAACTGCAAGAAAATCAATGGAGTGAAAAACTATAAAAGTCAGGCCAGAGATAGTCACTTAGAGGGAAGAGAAGAGGTGAGAGAACGGATGCTTACTGTTTTGTTTTTCTTTATCAGCTATAAGAACCTTTATAAATCTTATAAAGGTTCTTTTGTATCTACTTAATATCTTTAGAAAAGGAAAATACAAATACGTACACATAATACTCACAGATAGTCACATGTATAATACTCTGGAGCAAATAAAAATCACATATTATGTCAACGAAAGTCCTCATCTTAATGATTTCTCCACAGAAACCACACTGTTGACCTCACTTCTTTATTTTAAAACACTCTCCTCCACATGATAATGCCTTTACAAATTTTCTACCTATCTCTATGCCACTTTATATCTTCTCTGCAGGTTTGTCTTTCCAGGCCAGTAAATATAATTCCTCTCTAGACTGTTGTGCTAGAATATTGTATTTTACTGTCTAAGGTCCAACCATACCCACCTACCTTCAGCTCTATTAACACTACATGCTCCTTCCCATCATAGAGTTTTTGCACATGCTACTGTCTGTCCCCATTCTCCAACGTACTCACTAGACTTCAACCCAAATCTTGATTTCTTAGAAATCCTTTTTCTGATCATCTCTATCTCAGAGTCCTAACAAGAAAAAAGAAAACTTAAAGGGGTAATTTGAAGGATGTCAAATGAAAGACTAAAAGGAGGGGAAAGCTGTTACCAACCCTCGGGGACTAACTAAAAGAACTGTTGTAGGAAGTCATTGAAAGTAATGGCTGTGGAAGAGAGTTTTTCTGAGTGATGCTAATAACATGGGTAGAGAATGCAGTCACTTGCAAAATCTCCACATATTGACAAGGAGAAAGGGAGAGTAAATGCCTCTGCCTCTTTCTTCTTACCCTTCAGTGTCCTGTTAGTGTTTCAGGTTGGCCAAACCAACTAGAAACCAAAGAATAAAGAAGCCCAGGTGATATAGTATCTAGAGTTTAACCTCTCAGGTCGCAGAGTAAGACAGAAATAGAAGAGAATGGATCTGGAAAGACAGGGTCTACGTATTTCACATGTAAACAATTTCTCTCTCTCTCAAGAAAAGAAGAAAAAATGCATTTCTGAAGCACAGGAAAAACACAAAATTCTATAGGCACTTTGTATCATGTGGAGAGTTCTATTTTCAATTTAGTGATACTCCCAAGTGAAACCTAAATTATAATGTTAGATACCAGTAGTACACATCATATAAGGTTGCAAAAAAGAAAGAGGAGGAAAAAACAATTATTCAACATAAAACATAGCTGCTATTGTCACAATTTTGTAGCTAGTTTCGAAGCCCGAGTTGATTTGATTAGCACAGCCTCCTTCTCTCATCACTCATTCCATGTTCGCCTTACTCTCTGCCAACACCTTTTACCTGGAGGATTGACTCAAATCTTCACGCTCAAAGGATCCAAAACCATACAAGCCCACTCTTCACTGGGTTGCTGCATTTTTCTCAATGAACACTATCACTGAATACAGAAAGATTAGTATATGTGCTATTGAATAGTTTCCATATGAAGTCTATCTTTTCTTCATTGTGTAATAACAACCCAATGGTTCTTTGGGTCTTAGGCTCAACCAACATAGTTGTACAGCATCCCTTCCTGACTATTGGTGCTGAGACCCAAAATGCCAGTGAGTAATCACAGCCACCTGTTTAATGAAAGCATGACGGGAGTTTCATGTCATATACAGCACCCCACGGAAAAAACATGCCAACTTTGTAAGACAGTTGTTTCTGAGCTGGGACCCACACTGGACCTTCAACAGGGCATCCCACAACACTATGAAGAAAGCTGCTTCTGGAAACATTGCACATGGCAAGATCAGTAAATTCCATGGGTAGGAGCTGATTGCTCTATTTATTTCATAATAAATTGAGTGTTTTGGTTTGAGATAATGTATGTCATACCATGGTGATAAATAAGGCTTCTGTTGGCAGGCAGAGCAAATCCATATCTAAAATATGTAGATTTTCCCATGTGGAGAAATTACAGCCCCATCCATGATAGGGTGAAATACAGTCACCCTATTCCAGATGCTCCCTGTTCACCAAATCCCCTTAGCACCATGCCATCAGTCTCACGTGCAAGCATTATCATTTGTGCAATACCAAGATCATCAAGGCCCTTCAGGAGAGCTAATGTAGGTCTGGGCTAAGCCTGTCAAGGGAAGTGGATAGGGGAGGGAAAGAGTTCTAAGGTCTTCTTCTGGTATAATACCATAACAACTTTTATGCCACAGGTCAAACTACCAATAAGGGATTCTGCCTGTTACTATGTCCATTCCCAATACATATTCAGGACTGGTAAATAACAACATAATCATCTCACAGTGCCATTGCAACCACTGTGAAACAGGATCCAGACAAGACTCCATCGATCACTTCACTTTCATAAGTCCCTAAGACTGATTATTGGTAGACTATGGTGGTACTTAAGGTCTTTAGGGATAAGTATAAGTTCAGAGCCAGAATCTAATAATCCTTCCGAAGGTGTATTGCCTTTCCTCATTGCATGCTTACCCTGATAAATACCCCTAAGTTCTGTAGTGAAGGTTTGAAGGGTACATAGTATACCCTTATGGCCACAATACAAGATCCTGTAAAAGGAACCTCCTCCTATCTCAAATTAAGAGAATACAAATGTGTGGGTTGCCTTAGGTCTGGGAACTTGATAAAAACTCTGAATCTCCAATATGGTGGCTCAACTTGGGTCTCTGCTATTAGATATAAATTTGCTACTTATAGAGGTAAAACAGGAGACCTACAGTTGCTTTATTCTCAGGTGCGCCAATTACCATCACAGACCTCTATAAATTGAATGAAGAAATCTATTTACAACTCTTCCCTGACACTTACTTTGGTAATTCTCCACTACAACTTTGATGAGTACGTGCCAGCACCTGGCCTCTACTAGTCCAGGTTGCCACGATTCCTTTGAAATCAGGCAGCTCAACTCCATTAAAGCACTTCCTCCACAGTCCTCTTCAGCCACAACAAACCTCTTTACAAGAGTCCAGTGCTTAATGCCTTGGTGATGAGGGGGTTCTCTGGGCCCTCACAGAGGGTATCGTTAAAGATGACTGAGTACATTGCATGCTATCGATTCCAACACTCCCACCTATATCTCAGCGCCGTCAAAGTCCTTTCTCAACAAAATATCAGGGCACTTGCAGCATCTCTCTGTCATTAACTGCCATATCAAGTCCAAGCTAACATTAACCAACCTAGCAGATTGTTAATGTCATTGCTAAAGTGCTTGAGCCAACACATTAAAACCCATATCTTGTATGAGTACATCTACATTGATAAATCCAACTTGAACTATTCTTGTATTTTATTTTCCTTAATCTAACGCTCTTAAAAATCCCTTCTTCCTCTTGCTTCACAGACTTATGTGCTAAAAATTGACAAGATACTGCAACTTCTTCAGTGCATGGTAATTTTCACTTCGTGTAGGCTTTGTGCTTCTCCAGCTTATGAAGACCATTTTATTGATTTTATCACCTCCACTTAACTATAAATTCCAGAATAGATTGTGAGGGTTTTTGCTCATGACTTCTCCACATAGTACATAATATGTACTCATTATTTGTTGAAAGAATGAGTATAAGAGAGAAATATTTTATAACCCTAATATTTAAAATATTACTTGTATCTAAATATTGGCAAATAAAAAGAACAAAATATATTTACAAAAAAAAATAAAATTAGACAATATTATTTCACAAGTAGACATAAAAAGCCAGCTAAAATGGTTAACATTTAATGTCCATCCAATTAGCTAAAGTTAAAAAACTAGAAAATATGGGGAAATAGTCCTCTCACACTGGTAGTAAGCATAAAACTAACAGTCATTTTTTTAGAAGACAAATTGATAATATTCATCAAAATTTCATACAGTAAATCAACACTTACCCAACACTTCTACATTTAGAAATTTATTTTAAGGTAATTATACAAGTACACAAATAGTTAAGATGGTCATGATAACTTCTGTTATAATAGTGAGAATTAGAAACAAAATATCTACCAATGAAAGTCTGATGAAGTAAATCATGGCATACAGAATACTATGCAACAGCTACAAATAATGACGTATTCAATATATGTATTTACATAAAAAGTCATCCACAACAGAATCTAAGTAAAAAGTTAACAAATAGCATATTCACTGTTACCTCACTTATGCTGATGTGTGTATGTAACTCACGTGATTCATGTGTCTGTTGAAAAATATTTACCAACATGTTAACACTGGTTACAATCGGATTGTAAAATTAGGTTATTTTTTTTTGGTAACTTTCTTTGTTATAATCAAATCATTTAAAATAACCATGATATTGATTTTATAATTTAGTCATTTCTACTGAGACAATATTTTTCAATGGTTTTGCCACAAAGAGATATCATTTTAAACCTATCAAAATGGCTATCATCAGTAAATCCACAAACAACAAACTGTGGTAAGAATGTGGAGAAAAGAAAACCCTCATGCACTGCTGGTGAGAATACAAATTGGTGCAGCCACAGTGAAAACAGTGTGGAGGGTTCTCAAAAATTAAAAATGGAACTGCCTAATGACTTTAGTGATTCTACTTCTGAGTATATGTTCACCCTTATGTTCATTGCAGTGTAATTTACAATAGCCAAGATATGAAACCAACCCAAGTGCTCACCAATAGCTTATTGGTTAAAAAAAAGTTGTGGTATACACATGTACAATGAAATATTACTTGGTAATAAAAAAGAATGAAATCTTACCACTTGCATAGATGGATCTATAGGGTATTATAACAAGTGAAATAAATGAATCAGAGAAAGACAAATACCATATGATTTCACAAAACTGAAAAAGACTCATAGACAGAGAGGACAGACTGATAGTTGCCAGAGGGGAGTGGGGTTAGAGTACTGGGTGGAAAAGGTGAAAGGATTAAGAAGTACAAATTGGTAGTTACAAAATAGTCATGGAAATATAAAATACAACACAGTGAATACAGTCAATAATATTGCAATAACTATGTATGGTGCCAGGTGGGTACTGGAAATATCGGGGGGAACACTTTGTAAACTATATGATTTTCTATGCTATACACCTGAAACTAATACTAAATAATACTGAATGTAAACTGTAATTGAAATATAATTTTTTAAAACATTTAAATGATTTTTGGACTTCCTTAACTTAATCTGACTTATCAAATCTGTCCATTACTTTAAATACTATGTCTCTCAAAGTGGACAATCAAAAAGATATTTCCATGAAAGACGTAGTCCCTTTCAAAGCAGAAAAGTAAAAAGCACATCAAAATATGAAAGTTAAAATAAAAAATACATACAAACATAGTCAATGAACATTATATTGAGGCACATAATAGAGTATACAAATAAAATTTTAGAAGTATTAATAAAATTAATGTATCATAAAAATATAAGAAAAAATATTTGAAGGAGAGAAAATTATTTAGTAAAAATCCAGTTCTAATGGGAAGATGGTATGTGATACCTTGATGTTAGAGATTAAACTGTGTTATAAAGAAGGAATAATTGGAGAGTCTTTCGCTGAAAAAGAATAAAATAAAAATAGTAAAATTGGATGCTGTCTTGGATCCCATCAACCAAGATACATTATTGAAATTTATTATCTAACATTTTATTTTTAAATTAAAAGCAACTGGAAGTCCTTACAAGTTTCTGAGTAATGAAATTAATAAATCAAATACTTTTACAAATATGATTTTCCTCAAGAGATATTGAGAAACTCAAAGCAAAGATACTGTACACTTCAGCCATCCAGTTCTTCAGCATCTAGGAAGTGGGTGTGAAAATCATCAAGGAAAAACTGATTACAGGAAGCATTTCTTCAAAAACAAAGAAAAACAGAAGACAAATCAATTCTCCCCTGAAGTTCATGGCAGTATTTGAAACACATTTTTCAAGATACTTATACAAAATTTTTCTTTCCCTATCTCACAGATCCTCCTGTTTTATGTATTGTAATTACAGCCTAATAAAGAAATAGTTGCCCTGATAAAAACTTTCTGCTAGGAGAATGGGAGCTGAAAAGGAACCAATTCTCTATTCATTTGAGAGCCTGAATTTACATAGAAAACAAGCATAAACCCCCAATTCCCAATTCAGGGGTTCCATAAATATTAAACCACTAACCGATGGTCATGCAAACTGCTATCCCAACATTAATAGTTTTGAACATCGCCTTTATATTCGCAGAGAATGGAGATAAGTAAGTTCAGCTTTATTTTACAACATTCATTTTATAAAAAACAGTTATACCTGGTTTTGCTGCAGGTGAGCTCTGTTTCTCATTGTCAGAATGGTGTCCGGTTCTCCATTCATTTAAAACTTCCTGAAAGGACTGGGCAGAAGCTTCTTCATCAAATGACCCTTTACACGTGAGCCTATCTCTTGGGTTTGTACCTTCTCCTTTTTGTGTTGTTGAAACTTCCATCTAAACCAATTGAAATGTATCTAAGTATGCTTTTCAAAATCTTCTGTATCTTAAAATGCAGGTAGCATTAACTATGAGGCATTGTAAGTCACACATTTTTTAAACTCAGAATAGAATGTTTGGAAGTTGTGCTTCTTTATATGCTTTACTCGTTTCTTTAAAACTGTGTATCAGCAATTACAAATGATCCTTCAGAAGCTATTAAAGCTGGGGCCTACGGAACTGAGGATTCATCATTATGTTACACACAAGCATTCTCCCTGGAAAGCAACAATAGCCCTGTATGTGACCCTCCTATTTCTCCAAGTTCCTGCTCCTGCAACCTCTCCAGACCAGAAAGAGCGGTTTTATAACAAGAGAGTCTGATCATGTCAGGCCCCTGCTCAAAACCTTCCAATGACTCTCTCTGAAGCCCCCAAATCCTACCAGGAATTACACTGGCCTGCACAACCTTGTGCTCCCTGCCTTCTATTTCACTTCCTTCAGTTCTCCCCTGCACTCACCCTGCTCCAGCCAAACAAATTCCTTCAGTTCTGGGAACCCGCACTGCACCTTCCTGCTAGAGGACCTTGCACAAGCTGTGCAATGCCTGGAATGAATGAACCTTCTCTACATCGCCACAGAGCCATTCCACTCATTTCGTTCAGTCTCTGCTGAAATATTACCTACTCTGAGAATAGGGGATGACCCTGTTGATGGATGACCTTAAAAATACAGGCCCCCCGCTTTCTAATCCTTTATGTGTTTTATTTTTCTCAAAATAACATCTGCATGAATTTCTCCATGTTTATTTGATTATTGTCTCCCTCTCTCCATAAGAATGGACAAAAATCAGGGAATTTTTTCCCCCTCAGTTCCGAAAGCTGTGTCCGGCACCAAGTGTTGCTCATAATGTTAGCTGAATGAATGAATAAATAAATGCACATGAAACAGTGCATGCTTCTTTGCATAATGATGGGAGAAAGGGTGAATTCAGTACAAAATATAGATTTGCTGTGAACACACTGAAGAAAATAAAGGTAGAATTTGGTTGTTATCCACTGAAACACAGAAAATATCCAAATTGGGAAATTGAAGAAAAATAAATTCCACACCAATATGGAATTATCAAATGTGGATTACCTATTCTAATATCAAATTGCTAAATGTCCATTATGTATCTTCCAGATACAAGAGTAGAATCTTTTCTGTTCAGTCCTTAATTGCAAAATAAACAGGCAGATTGTTAGAGTACAACTGAGAGAAGATCGTTAAATAAGTGTATAAAAAATTTTAATATAAACCAAAAGGATCTGGGAACCTGCCAAACACTATGCTAGCTGTTGGCCACAGAAACACAGGTTAATAAGTCCACAACAGAAACAGGTGCGAGGAGCAGATATTTAACTCAGATAAAAACGAATTCTATGGGCAAAAAGTGGCAGAGGCAGGATACCAGAGAGAGGGAATGATACATAGATTAAGACACAGAGTCAAACAGCACAAAGGCATGAAACTGCAAGTAGTTTATATTGTACTAGTGAAAAGTGGGATATGAAAAAATACAAAGGATGGAAAGACAAACAGGAGGCAGAGAATGAAGGATCCTGCCTGCCATACACAGTAAATTAGGCTTCAAATTACTGGAAGCACAAAGCCACTGAAGAGTACCACACAATTTTGTGGGAAAGAGAGAAATTGGGGAATAATGAGTATGGATGCAAAGAAACCAATGGAAATGTTACAGCCATTTGGCAATATCAATATTACAAATGCACTACCCCCTTCACTTAGGAATTTCAGGAATTTGTTATGTAAATATAATATATATGAAAAAGAACAGTGTTCCAAATTATTCTTTATACTATAGTTTGTATTGGCAAAGACAGTGTAAATGTACATCAGTGGAAATCAAATTTTTAAAAGTAAAAAAAAAATGAAGTATTTTATAGCCACTATACAGAAGGAGAAAGTTTTAGAATGTACTTTTAAGGATATAAAAATATTTTGTTAAGTGTAAAAAGCATGTTTGCAGAGCAATATGAAAAACACAGTAATATTGGTTTCAATAAATACATACAAAATTGGAAATATTATTGATTTTTAGAAGGGGAAAGAATGAAATGAAATTTACACTCTATAAACCTTTTATACTTTAAGTAAAAGCTAATTTCAGTATTGGGAATAACAACAAGAATAGAAATGACCAAACATTAAGAAGAGTTTTTAGATGGTAGACCGCATGGATGTGCAGAGGCGGGAGAGAAAACGACTATAGAAAATAACTGTTCTTGCCAGCCTGGGAAGCTAGAAGGTAGGCTGACACCAACACTGACATCTATAGGTTATGGAAGAGAAATAAGGAACTTAGTTTGAAAATACTGAGTTTTAGAAGGATGTTGGAAAGTAATTACAAGTATCCAGTAAGCAATATATGAGTGTGTGTGTATATGTACCTATACTGCACTAATGAAGATGCATTGAAAACTCAGTGGATCCCCAGTTTCCGGAAGAGGAAACAGAGGATCAAAAAGGCTAAGTAAATAGCTTGATGTTATAAAGCTATAAGAGGATCAAGGTCAGTATTTCAAACCCAGATTTCAGTCTCTAAAATGAAAGCTTTTTCATGAACTGCACCTTTTTCGAAGGATATCCAGTGGCCTGACTCCACAGGCAAAGCGCTAAGATAGATATTAGGCATTACCTCCATTTTGACTGTTCTAGGCTTTGGAATTGCTTGGTAAGCTAATTAAAAATCAGATTCCTGGGCTGGAGCCCAGATGCGAAAAAAAAAAAATCAAAATTTAAGTGGCAGACCAGGAATGCATACACTCTGTTTCTGATGTTTTAAAGTGGAAGAACCACTGCCCTTCATGACAGATAAGTAGCAAGCATACAAGTGAAGGGGCATCTCTTCAGTGCATACTCTGCAGACGGGTGTGCACCTGAGGGTCAATAGCAGAGACTCCCAACCAGGAATACTCGCTGAAATCACTGAGCAGTTGCTAAAACCACACACCTGTACTTCACCCACAGAGGTACTGAATTCAGTTATGTGTGTTTCTGTGATGTTTCTCTAGTTGACTAAACATATACTCCTAGATGAAACCACTGAATTAAAGGTTCTTAAGAGGTGGAGAGTCTATAGCGTAGTTACCTACATTGACAAGGGGCAGCATTTATTGTAGGGATTAAAAGAAATAAGCTCTATAGCTTTTCCGTAGGGCTAATTACTTAACCAGCACTATCTCTACCTATTAAATGAAGTAAAAATAATGCAATGGTTATTGTGATCACTGAATAAGATAAGGCAGGGAAATAATTAAGCACAATGCCTAGCATCGGATGTTTAATAAATGTTAGTTGTTGATTTATCAGTATCATTACTGATAGGATAAATTAGATAAAATGGCAGGCATGAAGGAAAATTCTTAAAACCACAGTCTTTGAGTAGTGGTTAAAAGCAAATAATTTGAAATCAGAAGATCTGGATTCAAATATAAGTTCCACTATCAATAATTCCTTGAGTGCTTTATAAAAACTGTTTTTGCCACTATTTTCTCACCTGGAATAAAAATTTTTAAGAAAGAACAAAAATGGATATTACATGTAAAATATTTAGGACAGTGTCTGGCACATTGTCAATATTCAATTTATTATTATTATTATTATTATTATTATGAGGTTTTAACTTGTTCAGTGATTCCTCACAAACACCCATGGTAGGTCTATTAGAACATTAAATTCACTCAAATGTGCTGACTTTCCTGGGAAATTCAAGCATAGTTCCTCTGCTAAACAGAGATCGCACTAAAATAGAGCATGTTTTCTTCTTTGTTCTATTGGCATGGGCTTGGAACTCAACAGACTGATGAAGTTCAAGCCTCACTCTGTCACCAAGCAACAAGCTGTGTGACTTCAGCCAAGTTATACACTATTTCTGAACTGCAATGAAAAGGTGAGTGGCATCTAAAAGAATGAGGATTATTACATAGATCAAAATCTAAGGAAGTTTGTTTTTTGCTAAAAAATCAATACAACACTATTGTAAAAATATGGACATGAGCTGATGAAAACTTATCTAGCACATTGTGAGATCAGTGATCAATCTCAATAACTACCAACATTTGGTATAAATTCGATTTTAAATAACTGGGAGATTTACTGTCACCAAAACATTTGGCAAGATTTTGTATTTTAAGCTGCTCTGCAGTTCTGATTAATATAAAATCATTATATTGCATTGTGTTATCTACTTTTATGTTCCTCAAATACTCATTTATTTCCTGACATGATGGAAATGCCCAGAAAGCCACATGGGCAAAAGATCATTCGTCAAAAAATCAGTGTGCAGTAGAATCAAAGCAATCTCTTAAAGGGATTTTTATAGTCAAGAGGTTTTTGATTAATAAAAAAACAAATTTATATTAAACAATATGATAAAATAATATGCAAAACTCTGCAGCTCTAGTTAAATATATGCATGACAATCTCCATGATCATACACAACAGAAAATGTCTACTGTTTTCTTCAGCTTACCTCAGAGCTGCTCCCCTGCAGAAGAGGAGGTTTAGGTTTATGCTGAGTTTTACTAATCTCTTGTGTAGAGCGATTCTCTCTTTTGGGTTCATCATGATTAACTTCCTTTATAAACTGATGGGCAACATCCAATACATTGGATAATATTTGAGATTTTGCCTGTTAAAAAAGGAACAAAATATGACTAAAAAGCCTAATATATAAGCCTAACTAACTTACATTCATCAAATCATATTTTCATTATTCTATGACTACTAAATTCAATGTTTTATTTAATATTTAAAAATATAAATTGACATTTACATTAACCAATATAATAATAAAAGTTGCCAATCTTTTGAGGGGCTAGTTTGGATTCATACTATTATAAGTGTCTTAAAAACATGTTATTTAATCCTAAAGTCAACTGTAAAGTATATCTATTCTTATCTCTGTTCCAGGGATAAAGAAACAAAAGCTCTAACTGTTTAACTAATGTGTCCTTGGACACATAATGAGTGGGTGGCAGAGCTGGGAAGCAACCCCAGGAGTGTGTACTTCTGACTCATAGTCAACCCCAAACAAATAGATATGTTATTTTATGCATACCACAGCTAAAGAACTAAATATAGCTAATCTAGTAGGAGCCTGAATAAGCAGTAATAAGTAGTCCTTGGTGATAAAACATCTTTAGAAAGTATTAACTATCTCAAAGTACAGATCAGGAGGTGTGTCCACCTGTAGTTCCCTAGTGCACGCCAAGTTTCCCCTCATGCCTTGTCCTGGCTGAGTTTCAGCTATCAGGAAGGCCCTTCGTGCCGGCCAGACTTCTCCTTCTTCTGGCTTTGTCCCAAGTTACTCACATGTGTAGGAACCTTTCCCTGTCCTCCTTTCCCAGTCATGTGAGGTGCCCATTCTCTGTAAACTCTTCTTCCCCTGAGTGGGTCTCTCCCAACCTCTACGATATTGATTTTATATCATCTTTTGGTGTCTAGTTATTCTATGATAGCACATGAGCTCACAGAATAAAATGGCATGTCTTCTTAAATCTTGCTATGGCTACCACCATGCTGGGAAAATAACACATGGTGGAAAAAAAGTTGGGGAGGGGGAATGGAGCGGAAGGACTCCAGAATTAAAATAAATGATTGAGAAAAATAATTCAAAAAACCTTTACACGGGCCTTCTTCTAAGTGCCTGAAAAGAAATAGACAAATCTCGGCAAGGCCCTATTCTCTGAGAGGCCTCTCACCAGAGCTACCCTGGTCTGTCCAAGGGCACTGCAGGACTCTGAATGCCCTCTGAGCTTGAAGAAGACAATGTCCTGAGGGAATCTGCAGGCCCTTCAGAGGCCCTGTGAGAACCCGGCATTAGGAACAAAAGCGATGGGCCCTACTTCCAAGCAAATGTCCTCAAGCCAGAGGAAAACTCCAGCAGGGGTCAGAAATAATCATTTTATACTCTCCCGTGAAAATATTCATATTTTTCAATTTTCATCTAGTTACCTATTTAAATAGCCAAGATTACATGGAAACTTTCCAGTATGGTCTTTTTTAAATATATTAAGATTCAATCTGGTTCTGAAATCAAACCAGTGAACATCAAACTAACTAGTGTTATTTCACACTGAATCAATAAATTACATATAAAAAATGACTGAGCCCTGGCTAGTGTGGCTCAGTGGACTGAGTGCTGGCCTCTAAACCAAAAGGTTGCCTGTTCGATTCCCAGTCAGGGCACGTGCCTGGGTTGCAGGCCAGGTCCCCAGTAGCGGGCACGTGAGAGGCAACCACAGATTGATGTTTCTCTCCCTCTCTCCCTCCCTTCCTCTCTCTCTAAAATAAATAAATAAAATCTTTAAAAATAAATGACTAATGTGACCTATGCACATATATTGCTGTGCATATTCAAATCTGTGGTATCTGCTCCAAATCCCCCAATGATCATTCAAAAGCCCATGTAGACTTATGCAGCCTTTTTGAAAAAAGAAATTCATAATTACAGTGCATTCTTATTGTGCATATTCATTATACTGTACATTAGATCTCTATGGCTTATTTACCACCAGTACTTAACACTGCTAAATTGTACACTTAAAAACGATTAAGATGGGAACATTTATGTTACTTGTTTTTTACCACAATTTTAAAATAATGAGCACATAGAAATAAATGATGGATGTAATTTATTGCTTATAAATTGGAGATAAATACAGTTGATTTAACAAGAAAAAATGAAAAGATGAGAGAAAAGAAAAAATTTCAAGCCAATATAATGGTTTATCCTTCCAGAAATACCTGTATTGTTTGTATTTTTTAAACAGACTAGTCCAATTTAACCCCGACTTTAAATTTCCTAAAATAAAAGTCTGTTGATTTCAAAAGTAGTTAAAATATATAGTTTTCACTTTATCGAATATATCAAAATAAAAAACGATGATACTTATTTTATATATAATTATGATAGATTTATCCTTCAAGTATGTATATTTATTTAAACACAAAAATTATTCCTGTCCTAAAATAAATCTTGCTCTCAATGTTACAATAATTTTTATAACATTTCAAGGGAGCATTTTAAAAGACTATGAAATGGCCAAAAAATTATTTTACTCTTACATTAAGTTTATTACTAAAAATATGATAAACATCATGGGTAACTGACAAAATGGAATGCTATTATCTGTATGTCTTAAGTTAATTCAGGTTAGATAAGTTTTTCCCCTCAAAATCATGTATTTAATTATTACCTTCCTCGGTTTTAAAAGTGTCCGTGTTTACTTTATTTTTCTTATTCTTAAAATAATCATTCCAGGAGAGGGAACAGACATTTCAATCCTCAATTACCTAGACAAGGAAACCCAAACTCAATAAGCTTAGGTCAAAGCCAATGGATACAAAACAAGAGGGCTTGACTAAAAGCAAGGTTTTCCTTCTTCCAGACTAATCCTTCTCCCTACTGAGTTATGTTAACACGGAAAATGCACCTTACCTATAATTTCTAGAAACTAAGATATATTTTTTAAATTTTGTTTTTAATTTACTTTGCTTGTTTATTTTCACATCTGAGCAAGCACCAGCAAATTGAAGGAAGACAGATTCTCCTTTTGCTCATCTCTGTCATCTACATATTTGAGGGTTGGGGGGCAATATAAACTTTGAAAAAATTATCTTTTGAGCAACATGGCAAAAAATATTCTTTAAGAGTGAAATTATAGTACAAACAAACCACCTATCTCTTAACTGAGAGGAATAATTTAATAGAATCAGTAAGACTAGAAACCACAGTACTATAACATGCTATTTTACAATATTGAAAAGTCCTTTGATATTTGAAACATATATCACACATGTTAATAATTTGCAGTTTCCTGTTCTCCAGACCCAATCTCCCACGTTCACTCCAGAAAAGAACTGACAGCTAGTTGCTACATGTGTCTCTACACCTACGTAGGTCCTCCCCTTGAATTGGATGAAGCTCTGTGATAGATCACTACATGGCAGAAACAGTGATGAGCTTCCCTTCCCAGGGCAGGGTGGTAAGAAACGGACTGCCTTCTCTACCCTTTGTACTGTTCAGCAAGCTTGGCATAAAAAGATGTATGGTGACCTTAGAAGTAATATATCAAAAATGATGAATTGTAAAGTAAAAGTCACCAAATCATTTCTTAAGAGGGAAATTGTCTTAAGGCCATACATCCCTGTTGAACTCTTAGGTAAGTAGAAAATAAACCTTTTATTGTTTTAAGACACTGAGATTTAGGGATCCTTTACAGTAGCAAGCATTACCAGAATGTCTCATATTTGGAAACTACCCCTCGCTGGATAGTGTTTAAACTAGGGGCGGCGGGGAAACAAACTTGTCTTAAAAAGGTGTTTCCCATTAATAACATACATAAATACATTATTTCCAAGCCATGCCAAAGTTTTCCTTTCTACTTGGAAAGGTGAGTGTTCCTACTATAATTCTATTTATCATTTAAGGCCCAGATCAAATGCTATCCAGTTCTAATATATATCCAATGGCATTATAAAAAATAGCTTTAAAGGGCAAATCGTTTAATCTCTATGAAACAAGGTTTTCTTCCTCAACTACCCATAGCAAAATTAACATATCTTCGGTGTGATCTTATAAATCCTTGCTTACATTGATACTAGAGCTTTGCTCTTTAATGTACGATCCATAAATCAGCAGCATCACCGTCACCTGCAAACTTTCTAAAAATACAAAATGTCAGGTCCCATTCAGACTCACTGAATCAGGATCTGCAAATGAACAGATAACTCAAATGCACATTAAGTTTTGAGCATCACTGTGTCCAAACACCTACCAGTCAATTGTGTTACAATTGGTTGAATACTATGATTATGAATTCCTTGAGAGAGGGAACCATGTCTTCTTCTGCCTTATACACAGTGTTTTCTATCACCCTCTTTCAATTCTCCCTGCAGCCCTGCCCTTCACTCTTTGCAGAAGTGTGAAGGACATTGCTTAATGCTGGTTAAGTTCTTGAAAAATGTTGGTTGAATCAAATTTAACTGGTTTTCTGGATAAAAATGACTAAAAATTCCATTTGAACATTTGCTCCTTGTACCCAAGCTAAGTCAATGTCAATGCAGGTAAAATAAATGGCACTGCTAATAATGCATAAAAGGGCAAATCATATACCTCACTGAATCTTAAGTATTTGTACCTGTAAAATGAAGACAATAGCTACCTTGCAGAGCTGTTGTATATACATTCTAAATGAAAAACACCTAGCAAAGTGATCACATAAAGTAGCGCAATCAAACGATTTTTACCATTGTATTTCGATCACAATACACTATTTCTCTGTAAAATAAAATTGTTCAAATTACAGAAAACAGAATTTCTACCAAATTCAATAGACAGAAGTGAATCTTCAGACTTCTGTATAATAAAGAAGACAGTAAATAATTGTATCTCCATAAAACTGGATAAGTTTGTTAAAAACTTTCAGGAAACAAATGAAAAACAAACAACAAATTGAGAAGTATTTACTCAAGGAAAACTGCTGGGATACTACTGAATAAGAGCAAGAGTGTATGGCTTCCGTGCATGGGGCTGCTCCTATTTTACATCTCCCTTCCAAGTCTATCAGTGCAACTAAGGCAAGACTGGTCTTGCTCAGTAGGGAGTGTGCTTGATTCTCAACAGAG